TTTGATGGCCTAGCTGGTGTGACTTTCGAGTCTTGGTTCAAGAAGTATGAAGATTTGTTCAAGGTAGACCTCAACAAACTGGATGACGCTGCAAAGGTCAGAATACTCTTGAGAAAGCTTGGCACGATTGAACATGAACGTTATAGTAATTTCATCCTCCCAAAGAATCCAAGAGATTTCTCTTTTGATGCAACAATCGAAACTCTGACGCAAATCTTCGCTGAACAATCATCTCTCTTTAATATTCGTTATCAATTCCTCAAAATAACGAAGTCAAGTGAGGATGATTGGGTAAAACATGCCGGCCTAATAAACCGTGAATGTGAACGATTCAAACTATCATCAATGACGGAAGACCAGTTTAAGTGCCTCGTATTTGTGTGTAGCCTACAATCTCCCGAAGATGCTGATATAAGAACCAGAATCTTAAGCAAAATTGATCAGTGTCCAAACATCTCACTACAAGAAATAACTGCAGAGTGTCAGAGATTAGTAAATTTGAAACATGATACCTCCATGGTCGAGAACAATAGCCGGCCGTCATACGTGCATGCTGTTAGTGAAAAGAAAGACTCCGGCTCACAAAAACCATACAGCACAGACAATCAGCCCTCATCTCCTTGCTGGTCATGTGGAGGTTGGCATTACAAGAAGTTTTGTCCATACAAAGAATATTTCTGCACTAAATGTCACAAAAAGGGTCACAAAGAAACCAGATGTAGAAATAAAACTCGCAGACGTTACTCTTCACAAGTCTATTCCAAGAAATACAGATCTGGTAAGAAAACGAACAAAATATTAGTATCTCATAACCAGACAAGAATTCACCGCCGAAGAAAGTACGTGACCGTGGACATGAATGCACACCGTGTCCGTCTTCAACTTGACACAGCATCTGATATCACCCTAATCAGTCCAAAAACTTGGGAGAAAATTGGGAGACCTACAGTTCACCAAACGAAGCAACTAGCGCACAGCGCATCTGGAGGTAAGCTTAATATTGTTGGGGAAATAACGTGCAATGTTTCGAAAAATGAGGCAACAACGAGTGCAACTGTTTATTTAACCAAGAACCCGGAACTCGATTTATTGGGGTTGGATCTAATAGATGCATTAAAATTAGCAGATCATCCTCTCAACAATATCTGCAGCCAAGTCAGAATCAATAACCCTTTAGAGTCAAGTCAGAGAAATGCCATTATAAAAAGGCATCATCACGTGTTTTCAGAAGGATTGGGCGAATGCACGAAAGCCAAAGCACTACTGACTCTCAAGTCAACATCTATTCCTGTTTTTCGACCAAAAAGACCTGTACCTTATGCTTCTCTCCCAGTAGTTGAACAGGAACTAGAACGGCTTCAAAAAATGGGTGTCATTGAACCTGTGAGTTTCTCCAATTGGGCTGCACCGATTGTGGTGGTCAAGAAGTCAAACGGCAGTGTCCGTCTATGCGCAGATTACTCTACTGGACTGAATGATGCGCTAGAACCCCACCAGTATCCTTTGCCTATACCTGAGGATCTTTTTGCTAAGCTGAATGGAGGCAAGGTGTTTGCAAAACTGGATTTATCAGAAGCTTACTTGCAGATTCCTGTCGCGGATGAAAGTAAAGATCTGCTTACTATAAACACTCACAAGGGCCTATTCCGATATAATCGGTTACCTTTTGGAGTCAAAACGGCCCCCTCCATATTTCAACAGGTGATGGATACTATGCTACATGATCTCCCTGGTGTTGCAGCTTATCTGGATGACATAATAATTATGGGCATTGACAGAATAGACCTAGAAAAGAAGCTCGACCGGGTGCTATCGAGAATAGCTGAATATGGATTCCGGCTTCGTGAAGAAAAATGTGACTTTTGCATGGAGAGAGTACGCTACCTCGGTTTTATCATTGATAAGGACGGGAGAAAACCAGATCCAGAGAACACTCAAGCTTTCAAAGCAATGCCGAGACCGACAGATGTTCCCACACTTCGATCCTTTTTGGGGCTAGTGAGTCATTATGGAGCTTTTATCCCTGACCTTCATCGTTTACGTGCCCCATTAAATAGTCTTTTAACAAAGAACGCAAAGTGGTGTTGGTCTAAAAGTTGTCAAACTGCTTTCGAGAAGATCAAGAAACTGCTACTCTCGGATCTGTCGTTGACCCACTATGACCCATCCCTACCTATTGTAGTGGCATCAGATGCTTCAAACTACGGCATTGGAGCAAGCATTTCGCATATCATGCCTGATGGGTCTGAAAAAGCTATCTCACACGCTGCCAGATCTTTGACAACGACCGAAAGAAACTATAGTCAAATTGAGAAGGAAGCCCTATCAATTATCTTTGCAGTAAAAAAATTCCACAAGATGTTATATGGTCGAAATTTCACCCTATTAACAGACCATAAGCCACTGCTTGCAGTTTTTGGGTCAAAGAAAGGGATTCCTGTTCATACAGCTAACCGACTCCAACGTTGGGCAACCACACTTCTGGGTTACGACTTTAAGATCAAGTATCAGTCAACTACCGCTTTTGGGCAAGCTGACGCGTTGTCAAGATTAATAGGCTCCCAATCAAAAACCCTAGAGGAAACCGTTGTAGCAAATATAAAAGCCGAGAAAGAAGTTCATCGCGTATTGGTCGACGCAATCGATGGACTTCCAGTAACTTTTGAAATTATCAAGAAGATTACTGAAAGTGACAAGATATTGAGCACAGTTAAATGCTATCTTACGATCAAATGTTCCAGACGGTAAGTCTCCTGCCGAAGCCATGTTTGGAAGGCGTATTCGAACCGTTTTCAACGCCATGTTGCCATCGAAATTTGTGTACGGGCACAATCAAAATCCAAATATGCGGAACTTTAATGTCGGCGACGAAGTTTTCATTAAATCCTACACCGGAAAGAACCGATGGGAGCCGGGAAAAATTGTACAAAAGTTAGGAAAAGTTCTGTACAGAGTCCGAGGAACTTTTGGAACATGTATACGACATACGAATCAAATCCATAAGGACAAAAGAACGATGCAGACTCGAAATAACCGGCCAAAATTCCCGTTAGAGTCAACCTTGGACGTACCAACGATACATATGCCCAAGGACACTGAAAGGAAGCCTTGGATAAGGAAGACGACAAGAATAATGAGACACCACCGCAACCCAGTTGTCAAGCTACAAATAAATCCTAGAAAGAAATCTTATTCAGGGGAGGTGTTGGGATGACCACCGAGAAGCCACCCACGTACATAGTCGATTGACTAAGTTATCGATTAATTTATCGATCAGATGTTAAGTATTTGAATAGCAGTCAATTGATTAACTTATTGATGAATGTTTAAGAATTTTTAAATGACAATATTGATTATGTATATAATTTTGTATAAATACTCATGTTTGATTGTATATTTTGATTCTTGTCAATAAGTGCTCACAAACGTCTTTCGTCTTCTTACTTGAGAGCGATTGGAGGTTATAACGTTCGAGTGTCATCCGTTATAGAGTCTTTTCGTGCGTATTCGAGTAGAGAACTTAACACAAACAACAATTCCCACAAAACCACACGCTGAGAATACTTTTAGCCAGCCATTGTTTAGTAAAAATAATTGTGGCCTAGGATTACTTAAGCTTTATTCGTCCTCTCAGTCCATCTCGGTATTCTGTTAATCTAACAGTGTCATCATGAAGATGTTTCAAATGAAAGAGTAATAGTTTTAATAAAAGGTGTATTGTTGACACCTTCTACAAATGAGTAAGATTAAAAAGGAATAATTGATATCAACTAGAGAATACTTCGATCAAAAAAGAACAAACGAAATTTCTGATGATCAGAGTGTTCTGTTAAATAATTTGCATTTGGCTATCCACTTGACTGGATTGATCCACATTAAACAAAATTATAAATGTTAGTTAAGTTTGCTTTTGTTATTATTCCATAGCTTTGGAAATCAGATGGTTCAACATATCAGAAACCATCCATACATGGGACTCTATTTATATGACTTATAATTAGTAGTAAATTTTGAAAGAAATCACGTCTAGTAGAAGATAAATTTTATAATTTTGCCTTGAGATATATTTCATATAAGTAACAAATACAGGTCAGACAAATTATAACAACCATTGTAATCTCTCACACTTGATTCTTTCAAGGATTATATTTTACACATTCACCTCATAATGCTTCTGACCAGTTGGAATTCGGCTAAACAAACAGACCGAACGGTTTTAGTATGAACGAGAAACAAACAATTGAAAACTGATACTGAGTTTAAACAGTATTCCTTAGAATCAAAAACAAATTAAGCCGGAGGAACAGTTGAATATGTGACTTTATCAAATTAGAAATCACTGATTTTGAACTGACCGAAATAAAATCCAAAAAACTGGAAAATGTCACACTATGCTGGTGAAACAGAACCACATGGAATGTATTGCCACCTGTCACCAAAACAGTATTTTTTATAATGGTTCTAACCTGAATCATTGACTTCGATTATTATCCTGACAAATTGCAAACTAACACTCTAGACGAAAGGTTGGAATTATTTAAGTTTAAATCGCTGAGATTATCTCAAATATAATTTTTATGTAGTTTTTACACATAACTTAAATTACTGGTGACCTGCAGAAGGTGACTTAACTCATGTTAATTAGTAACACTTTGTGGCATGAATGGTTGGAGTTTGACATTATTCTGTATCTCAAGGTAACGGTAGCTTGGTAGTCAAGTAACAATATAGACTGATTCATGCACTTCTTGTGGTAGTATTGTACAAATGGCTACGAACTGATATCATTTCATACTGATATTGACATCGTAAGTTGTAGGTGAATTACACTCGGTTTAGATGCTGATAAATAGATCCTGAGATGCACTAGAAGAGTACTTAACAGAATAATTACAATCCGTGTATTTAATATATTATTGTAAAATAAACTCATTTCTAATAGGGAATCAATCGTATGAAAGTATAAACACAAAACGAAGGTTAGAATATTTTGAACAAACCGATCAGGGCAATCATTGGATGCGATCAGTGATAATTGAGATGGTACAACTTTAATTGAAGGTTTTTCCAAGCCAGTTCTAACACAAGTTACAGATAAGTTGGTGAGTTTTGTAATATTATTGAATCGACCAGCAAATTGCAGCAACCAGACAGTCCCGTTTTCCACACTTTTACTATCACTTAACTGGATATCCACTGAAAGGATGGCAGTGTTGCGCATTAGAGGTACACTAACGGTTCCTGCAAATTGGAAATAATGTTCTAATAAATATTTCGTGCAATTTACATTCTAAAACAAAGTATTTGTATTGAATTATTGGTAGGCCATCCATGCAATACTCTTAAATTAATTGTATATTACTGTAACAAAAAGTAGAGCAGACGTTTCCGGAAATCATCCACTCATTTGGACATCTAGAATATGTGTTGTTTCTGACAAACTTTCCATAGTACAATCCGAGCGGATTTCAAATTACCTGTAGAACGTCCTTATCACAAACAACTGGCTATTTCATCACAGGGGGTTTGCTGAGTTTATTGAATTTCATGGATTACATCACGGATTAATTTTAGCTAAATAAACATTGAAAGCCAATAAGCACTGAACGGTTGTTTCGCTCTAATACTGCACTCTTTGACAGTGTACATTCACGACCCATCCGGGATAGAACACAGAACATTTAGAACTCCCATTGATTCCCTAACATTTAAACAACCGAGCTGGTATCCAGCGAATTCCATTTATATTATAATCTTGAAAAACTATTCGTATAAATATTCAATTTTATTCTGATTCATAGAATTATCGTGACAACTGAGTAACTGTTTTATTGCTTAAATCTAAATTTAATAGTCAACTCACCGATATTAACGATATTTTCAAAGTGAATTGTCAGGCGATCCATAAGGCCTGTTTGATTATTTGACCTATAGGTAGATGGATAAGCAGTTGTCGGTGGTACTAAATTTGAACCTAAGCTTATTTTGAAATCAATGATACTTATTATTGTCTCATTGTTTTCCTTTACTCCACCTCCACTGATTTCTACAGTCGAGTTTGCATAAGTGGAATTCAGTGGAAATATGTACTTCACAGTAATAGTTGTTCTTTCACCTGGCTGAAGGTTAACTTTTATTGGAAGTAATTCAATCATTATCTGAAAGGAGAATATTTGAAGTCATATTATCACATTAGTAGTTGAATGTTGCTCAAACTTTGAATAGTTTCGTACTTCGAATTTCCTAAATACTTTCTGTTATATGCGGACGAGAATAGATTCATGGTAACCATTAGGAATTATTTGTGTATTAATATTATACGTATATTCTTATTGTACGACTATTAAGTGACCATATTATATGTATATTCATATTCCTTGCATTATAAGTTTTTATTTGACCTATATATTATCATTATAGGATTTACCATTCTTAAGGTTTGCCCAGTTTATTAATTGCAGTCTGTCACAATCACAACCACTTTTGGCTTGATATTGTATAAATGTTATTTTCTATTTTATGTTGTGATGTGGTCTGATTTTGTTTGTGTATAAACCCAGTGTATTTGCAGTACAATATTCGTATTGCGGACGCTTAGGTTGGCGTTCTGGAGTTAACAGGCAGGGCTGGCGGAAAAAGAACTAGTCGGAATTCTAGATTGCTCGTACTGGTGTACTCGTCATTAGCTTGGTTGTATGAGTCAGAGTATCTAAATTGGCAATCGTATTTCGCGATAATCGTAAAGCAAAGGATATAATATTTTCACTAATATTTGTTTTGCCACCGCTGCCAACTGAGAAGTATTAATGTAGAACTAATGTTTTAAACCTTTCATTAAATCATGTTTAATGTTATGATTACTTTAAAAATCCCTATAAAATATTCAAAAATGAAGAATATTTGAGTGAACATTTGTTTTCAATAACTTCATCACCTTGGCCCACGACTGGATCACCGAATACCTAGACTGAATATTACAAACCTCTTACCCTCTTCCTTTATTTATTTATTTTCCTTATTATCATTATTTTTTATTACCTCTATCTTAATCTTCACATCCATCATTCTCAATTCGTTCATCGTAATTACCTTGATAACACCCCCCTTATTACATATCATATTCACACAACAATCTTATTATTATTACCTCAATCGACAAGATTAAATTCTCCTACTATGTATTTTATTCACACAATTTTTGGCATTTTCATTTTTGTTATAATTCTAATACTATTCTACTTATTGTGACTGGACACTTTACTCCAAACCATCCTGACCCTTGTTGAATGACCTTTCTAACTTGCAAATCATATAATTTTGAAGTATATATATACATATATATATCGTAACAGATGCAAACGTGCACCATTTTTAACACATAACATTGTCAAATTCATTAATACATGCCTTATTTTTGGCCTTTGTAAAATATTATAGTTATGGACTTATAACTGTAGAGCCTGATGATAATGTTATTATGTTAAAAAATAGGGTGATTACAACACGAAAGAATTCGTAGTGATAAGTTTATCAAGTTTCGAACCAAATTATTATCTTCTTTTCTCGATATTATGTAGAAGCTAACACTACTTACACTGTGGCTAGCGTTAATTGAGCGCACTGTTAAATATCAGCTTGTTTACAAATGCGATAGAAGTAGTTTAAGTGTTGCAGTTGTTGTGCATCATAATATAATTCTTATTCTAGATAAGGGTTTCATTTATGTTCGACACACTTTTCTATACTAAATTCTTATATTTGATCTAAAATAAAAGGGATCTTAGTGCACATTGAACGATAGTCCTTTTTAAACAGTATTATAATTTAGTGGCTAAGACCAGGAAAAACAATGAATACGGTTGTAAATGAACATTCGACATTTGAACATCTAACAAGTCTTATTACATCAAATACAAATCACTTACTGTACCCATATTTTTCCTCTTGTGTATGTTCTAGCAGAATCAGGTGAGGGAACATTAGAATTAATTTACCCTGAAGAAACCTAATGTAACTTAAAAGTTATAAGAGATATTCTAACCAATGTCTATCACATGGACACAAACGGCCGTCCAGTGACTCCAGGTTTTCTATGGTGGTCTGGCTTCAACTAACTCATGATCTTAACCTTTGAAAATAATGACTGTGTCCATTGGGGTTTTTGGGTTGGCCCACTATACTTGTGAATTAAGAAATAATATTTTAATACAAACTATTCTATTACGAATTCTATAGAGTCGTTTGCCACACACTTCAACAATTAGCTCTTAATATTAGAAGATGAAGTGTAGGAAAAATTGATATTCATGAATGACAGCTTAGAGTTTGGCTGCTCATCATACATATTGACGAAAGCATGATCTCCAAGCCTACAGAAAATTATCACATTAGCGGAAAGCAATGGGAAAAGGGAAAAGGTAGTGAAAAAAATCGAAGGGTGAAGTGCAGCTATATCATCAAGCAAACAGCGAACGTCCAAGCCATTTCTAGCTCACGTATCATTTATCAAAGGTGTTAGGAATTAATGTCCATATTTAGAATCAGGAATGAAGTTTACAGTTTTCATCACGAACTAGCGTCAATACAAGTACCTGAAACTGCATATCCTAGGCACTCTTAGAGTATTAAGTAATTCACCAATCCTTTTTATCTTTTGATTGGTTAAACTGGTTGAGATATCGAGGTCCACCAAATTGAGTAACCACGTGACCCCATTACTACAATCAAACCAACATTTGATAGCTTCACCGATTGATGCCAATGCTTGGTTCCAGTGCCACCTTGATAAAATGTAATTACTACTAATAATAATGACGCTAGTGAAATAGTGTTTTATCAAACTCCTTATTTATAGATTAAGCCAAAATAGTACATGTCTTAAAGTAAATTTCCGCTAGCACTGTAGTCATTGTCAGGGACACCTCACATAACCATTAGGATCTGCGAATGATGCTAATCAAGTTCCCTGCGATCAACGGAACCTCACTATGAAGTGCTCAGTGGTGTACGTATCCACCCGAATTAAAAAGAAAATCAGCTTAACTTGCTATCAAAAGCTTGAATTTAATATAAATAAATAGTAATAGTTAAAATTTCCATCTGAGAATTCAGTTTACCCCACCGTCACAGGTTCTTTGTTGATCCTGTGACAGATCAATTTCATTTACTACGTGCTTCCATTGAATAAATGTTGTAGGTTCTCTCACACATGGATGACGTTCATTACGGTATTATCTTTAGCAAGTACAAAACTGACCTTATTGAAATATAATTAACATATTTAACTTAGTATATGATACTTAGGTTAAATGTCATTCAGAAAAGCCAAATACAAAATGTCTCTGTGAGAATATAATATTTCAAGAGTTCATATACGATTAGACAGACCGTAATAGAAAGTGTAAATGAAAATAGGCCAGGGACATTCCCATTTAATTAATTCCGATTATGTGTACGACAAATAAAGCACAAAACATAGGTAATCGATATAGTTATAGGCAGAATAGAAAAACGACATACAGAAAGCATGCAAACGTAGAAAAGAATATGACTATCATGTCTGAGCTGATAGGTATGGTAACCGACTGAATTACAACGACACTTGTTGAGACTTCTTTTGTCTGATTATAGATAGATTTCTATGCATAATAGGTCAGATGGGCTTGATATAATCCAATAATATGGAGCATTTACGATTCGTATCATGATTTGGTGTCACATGAATCATTGAGATGATCAGTTATTTTTACGGCTACGGCTAAAATATGCAATAATCTGTCCAACTCAGTGTCATAAAGTGATGTTAATCAGGTGTAGTAGAAAATCCTACATTGATATTATTTTCCATGTAAAAAGTGTTATGGCTTATAAAGTATGTTTTGTAATACATTTAGATCAAGGATATCCACCAACTGAAGTTGTAAAATTGTCCAGCTCATTTATATTTTATACAAATGAATAAATAATAGATTGGATTGAAAATGTGTAGGACTGAGTGAAAATATACACTCACCAAGTGCAATTTGAAATTTAAGGTTGATAGATTAGATTGATTAATTTATTGTTGATTATATTAGAAATAATCATGATACTGATAATAGTTGTAAAGGCATTCTTCAGAATCCAGTAAGAAAACAGTAAAGGATTTACTTTTAACTTATGCTTAGTATTCTTTCAGAAATTAGAATAATGAAGTGATTATGAATTTACTGATAGTCAGTTAGCTTTTTCTAAAAAAGCAATCGATATAGTTGTTCAAGGTTAAAATAGACAAAGTTCAATATGAATAAAGTCAACACTACGGAGTAAAATCGAAAATTTAATGAAATATTGATGGGTTTTATGAACAGCTAGCTGGTACATTACATGATAAAAATGCATAAATCATATTTCTGATTACATTTCTGTCGAAATAACATTGAAATACCAACAGATGAATCTACATGTAATAAAAATTGCAAAAACATATTTATTCTTTTCAATATAATAACTCCCCCTGTGGCACATCAGAAGAACAAGGGCAGACTAGAAATATTTGCACATTCATGTACATTCCACTAAATGGTTATAAGTGGCACAATACTCCCACACAAACGCATACACAAAGCTACACCGCTCTCACCGGATCACACTACACAGAACCAGATCGATCATATTTGCATCAGTAAAAATTCAGAAAGTCAATCGAAGAAGTGAGAATCAAGAGAGTAGCTGACGTAGCTTCAGATCACCATCTACCTGATGGTTGCCATGATCAAACAGAAGCTAAAGAAACACTGGACAACGGGGTAAACAGCATTACAACGATTCCATACAGCCCTCATTCCAGATACTAGCAAACTCAACCACCTCAAGATAACTCTCACCAACGCGCTACAAGCCTTACAAGATCTACTGCAAGAAGAAGAAGAAGAAGAAACTACGATGGAGGATAACTGGAAAGGGATCAAAGAAACACTGACTTCAACATATCAGGAGGTCATGGGCCACAACAAGCATCATCATAAGGAATGGGTCTGTGTGGAAACCCTGTACAAGATTCAAGAAAGGAAGGACAGGAAGATAGCAATTAACAAAAACTATCGCACAAGAGTATAGGGTATCAAGGCACAAGCCGAATACTCTGAAGCAAACAGGCAAGTGAAGATGAGTAATAGAGCTGACAAACAGAAATATGAGAAATACATAGCAACGACAGTGGAAAAAGCTGTAAGTGCAGGAAATATCAAACAACGATATGACACGACGAAGAAATTAAGTAAATGTGAAAACTATAGAGTTATCACGTATGACAGCTGACATATGCATCAGAAGTGAAAACTGGTGTCAGACAAGGCTGATTGCTCTCTCCCTTTCTATTTCTAATGTTGCTTGACTGGATTATGAAGACCATGACATCTGAGAGGAAGCACGGGATACAATGGACAACTTGCATGCAACTAGACGATTTGTGCTTCTCACATCACCTGACTCTTCACTCCCATACACGCGAACGAATGCAGATGAATACAACAGTGTAGCAGCAGATTCTGGATCAATAGGCCTCAACATACACAAGGGAAAAACCAAGGTCTTCAAAGACAACATGGAGAACACCAATCCAATCACACTTGACGAAAAGACACAGTGGAAGAGGTGGAAACTCTCATGTACCTGGAAACATCATCAATGAACAATTAGGGTCTTATACCTACTTAAAGGCTATGATTGTTAAAGCGAGGACAGCATTCCTACAATTGAAGAACATATGCAACTCAAAACAACTGTCAGCAAACATCAAAATCACAATGTTCAATACGAAAGTCAATACAGTTAGTTCTATTGTACTGAGCTGAAACGTGGAGTACTACTACAAGCATCATCAAACAGGTACAAGTATTTTTAAATAATTATCTACGTAATTTACTGAATATCCCATAGCCTGGTACCATCGGCATCAGTCTATTTTGGGACAGAAGAAACTAGCTTCCCGTTGAAGAGGAAAGTATGGAATGACGGTATAAGTGGATCAAACACATATTGAAGAATCCGTTAAACTGCATCACGAAGCAATCACTGACTTTGAATACTGAAGTGGTATGGAAAAGTGGAAGGCGGACGAACATACTTTATCGGGAATCGGAAGCAGATGTGAAATGAAATAATAGCCACTAGAGAGAGCTGGAAAGAATTGTTTAGAACAATGTTAGATGGAGAATGCAGGTGATTGGCCTATGCTACTACATGTGGGTAACTGGCGTAAGTAAAGTAAGTTTACATTATAATAGGGTTTTTCTGTAAGACCTGTATAAACAATCTCTTATTATTTATTAGCATATAGAACTATTGTTTAACAAGTGATAAAGGTTCCTAAACTTTTTTTATATAACTTAACACTTACGTCAGTATAATCTGGAAAATTTGGTGTAACTGCGATATCCATGCTATATGTATTAAAAACCCTTGTATTGCCACTCATATTATGCCAGCCTTTGAAAGAATAGGTTGTCGTCTGTGTTGTATTGCAATCCCCTAATATGTAAGCAGTTAATAGTATAATCATCTATAAAACGTAAACAACAACAATGAAGTTGAAAGAAATATTTACATAATAACACATAAACTATTGATTGAAGTTGTGAATTTAATTATTTTTTTATCATATCCATAATGCAGTTCTATTAAATAAACCTACGGTCAATAGAATTAGATTAAAGAATAAACTTTGATTTATATCAGTGAGTGAAATAAGATTTCGGTAAGAACATGAATTAAGAAAAATTCAGATGCAAGTATAGTTGTAGTATTTAAGAATGTATGGTGTTACATACTATCTTCTACTACATGATGAATCTTTATGCTTAATCGGAAACACTCGGGACTCTCTATTTTATTGACTGACAGATGTGCGAATACTAAAATGAGTTTTTCGAGATTGAATTTTTTGTATTATTTTCTTTTGTTGCATAGTTACAAACCGAAAATAGAGAAAAGGAAATACATGAACTGTGTATGTCTCTAGAATGCTACTGATTTTTGCGAAAAGTCGTTAAATGATGTGAATTCAAATTTTGCCTTTCTTGTATTGAGGTGATCCAGAAAATTCCTCGAAAAAAGCCAACAAAGCCTCGGAAAATGCTAATGACCATCTTATCCAATCAGCTTTCAATAGAAATTTTAAACAAACCTTGGAGTAAAGCGTTTATTCCATATTTCGCTCATTTTCTCTCGTGTTGGAGTTGCTGTGTAGATTTAGCCTGGTGGCTGCTAGAAGAGCGTTCAATTAGAAGACTTATCATTCTGTATAGCAATAAACTAAGTTGATCCATCTGATGCCAACTAAATTTATTTCATTTCTGAATGGTACGGATAGTTAAACATATTCCTGCCAATTAGCATTATTTCTGTTCTGCTTACTTTTAAAATTTAACGACACTTTCTAATGCCTATGAAAATATAAAAATGCTCAAAATACTATTTAGCCATTAAACATTGAGGTAGACTGAACACAATAGTGTAAGACCTAGAATAACCATGCATTTGTGCAAGCTCTCAAATTTCATATTAACTCAGTAAAAGTAAAACACAAAATGAAAAAATCCAAATAGTGATACCGATAGGACTAAATGTAGGTGAGAAGTCAGCGGAAGGAATGAGTTCAATAAATAAAAGGTATTCAGTAATATAGAGTTAGTTGTTGCCGTTATATAACAATTATTATCTACTAAAATAAAACCTTTATTTTCTGAAACACTTTTTATTTACCACATAGTTTTGCTAATTCATATCTATTTCTTGGTGAAGCTAAATATTATTTGTTATTATTGTGGAATTTCTAGACCACTGTTTTACACCTGGAACTATTTCTTCCATTTTGTGGCATCCATGTAATTTGTGAAGTAGCGGGAGTTAGCTAAAAACAAACAGTGACCAATATCTTGAGTTTCTAGGGATTTTGAAATCTTTTTCTGTTGAACAATAAATGAAACACTATCGACTAGAAATGAATCTGGAAGTGATTTTACTAATCTTTAACTTAATAAGCAATTCTATCTTACTAACTAGCAGAAATTTCTGTTCAATTACCCAACACTTCTAAGGCACAATGTCGAGCTTCACTTCATTGCCCACGTGACGACAAATAAATCAAAACAATTTCAACGCATTTTATACGAATATTTTGATTATTACCCTGAAGAAGTCCAGACAAGTTAGCTGGACGAAACGTCGGAATTATTTAAATTTCAATCGCTGAGATTATTTCAAATATAATTTTCACATATAATAATTTTAACATATATGAGGATTGTGAGATAGTCTACATCTATGATTTGAAGATCTGCAGTTAGGGTAGTATGGGGAAGTATGTTGTTCGACTTGTCATAATGTTCAGACAATTATACTGTCAATTTTGCATCCACGAGTGCTTTCACGAAACAGGGTTTACATTTCGTAATTCTAAATTGTTAGCAAAGTTTTCATCCATATGGAAGGATAGATTAAGTTAAGTGTTTTACCAAGAATAGAAGAAACAAGTAAAATTGTTTAATGGTGTGTGTGGTGAATTTCATATTCTACGAATGTGAAATCACTTACAGCTTCCTGGAATCATTCTGTGTGAAGCTTTCTATAGCACCTTATAAGTAAACTGAATTAGCATTAGTAGTATGATATACTTATAAGCTTGGTTTCAGAGTCTAAGGACTGACAGCTGCAGAGTGATCACTTACAACCTCGGTAGATTTTATTCTCACATTTAAGATGTCTAAATATTTCAGAATATACAAATATCACTTCCTCTGTTTAAACACGAAGAAATAGACTATGCTCAACAAAATCAGGCTTCTTCTGACGTTTCCTGCAGACCATAAGAATGCACAAGCAATAAATGCCAGTTATCATTGAGGAACGCCTTACATTTAGGATACCATAACCAAGTTGCAAGTATGGTTTTCTTCACAGATGATACGTTCGATCTTCTAGCCTGACACGAACATATGCACTGGTTTATTATGAATGAGTAATACCAAAAAACTGAAAATATTCATTACATTCATTCGGCCTTGTTTGATAATCCCAGTAGAACTCATCTGATTAAACTTTTGGTGAAATTACTTACGACTGAAATGTTTAGTTATATTTTCAACGTTTGTTCATTGTTATTCAGGTAACTTAATGTAATCCTATTGTTTGAAAGCATATAATATAAGCGGCTAGCCAGAAAAACTTTGTCAAACCAAATAGTATTTATGCAATAGACTTACGACATAACTACCTTCAAATGTAGGACAAACTGGGCCGAAATCCACTCTCACCAAACTATGAAAATAAATAAAAATCATTTGTTGTCGAATTCACTTGCATAAAAGAAGGGAGTAATGCAACATATTGTGAATTAAATAAAGTTCTAGAGACATAATGATAGATTCGAATCAAATATATACTACGAGTTCATCACGAATGAAATGAGAGGATAGAAGCATGGATTCTTAGCTAAACATTCACTTTTTTAAAGTACTAGTGTCAAAAAAGACTGGAATCTTCTCAATACAGATTCAATAGTAGCCTATCAAATGTTTTATGAAACTGTTCATTTCTACATAGATAGCGCAAACATTTATAAATTCTCAGTTGATCAGTTATTTTGAAAATATTCCACAGTTGAAATGGCATTACTCATGTCCATTCACTTAAAAATCTATCTTCATGAAACTTTGTGGGAACGTCACAAATGTACTCTGATCTGTTATTTAATACATCATTTTCTGTTCTCCAAAATGTATCCCAAAATGTAGTCATTCCTCAATAACTTGTTCAGTTAAGATTGCATAATAATCACATTTATAGTTGTGAATATATTTTACATAATTATCAAAATCAAATGTCACTGACTGACAACATAATCAAGAAAACATGCTCCTATATCTGGTTCTGTTTCGTTTTTCACTTTCAATCACAAAGAGTATTTTAAGGGGATAGAAACTCGATAACCTGAAACAATTTACACCAGACATTACATCCAAGTGAAGATATTGGAAGTATTGCGTTAATGATTACTATGTGGTTCCCAGATCATTTTTGTCTGAGCTGATGTCTGAACTGAAGAAAAGGTTGTACATATGCTATCTCTAGGAGAGGAAATACTAGGCGAACGAGTTCAAGGCCTTGACAAAATTTGACAAATCGATAATCCGTGCATTTACTTCACTTTGTATCCGACCATACCCAAACATCCAAAAGCCATGTAACACCAATCACTTTTCTCTTTAAAAACAGTAAATGTTTTAAACGAATTTTATCTTCTACCAAATTCTTTCAAATGATCGGTTTACTTTCACTTGTAGGATTATTTTTATTCTGACTATGTAATCAACAACTGTAAACGTAGGGGATGTTAGCGGTGATCTCACCCTTCTTACTCCATATGTCCAGATTCAGGACAAATATAATGAACCAGTCTGAACTATGGCATATAATGTGGCTATTATATATTATTCTTCTACTGTCCCACTTCGAAATTTCATAATTACTGTACTTCGATATCTTATCTATAATCTTATTGTTCGTTGTTCATTTAGCTGAGTGTAGCTTATGAGTAGAATAAAGTAAAACAAACTCAGTTTATTCCACGACTTTTGTCCACAAACTAAGTGAAAAATGTGAAGACGAAAAATTTTAAGAAGTAGCACTATTTCGATGTTGTATGATTTTCTAAAATTTTCAATCTTTTGGTTGTAAAGAAATTGTGCGTTGTGAAAATTTCAGAAAGGTATAATAGTTAGTCAGGTTTACGACTAAAATGCAGAAACCAATGTTCATATAGTTTTACTCGAAGTGAACCTCAGAAATTTTTTGGACTTTCGTAAGATTAAAATGCACCGAAGTATGAAAGTAAATAACATTGTATATGTATGTACGACAAATCAACTTAATATCACATGAATTAAAGGCGATCAATCTAACAATGAACAGATTGTCAGATGTTATTAGTTCACATTACGCTTTGACTACAAACAATCAAAGATCACTTTCATAGAAAAAGAGCTAGGAAAGTCAGGATTTACAACATTTTAACAAAAAATCGATAATATTAATTTAAACTGTACCTATCCACATAGGTCATATTAATAGAAAATCCTCTTGGTATCCACACACCCCCTCCATACTGCCACAGAGACACTTTAGTTATATTCAAAGCGATAACATTATTTAGAAGTCGACTAATCCATTGAGTTACGTACGAGCAACGCTTTCCCATTGGATATGTAACTGCAGTTATATCAATCGGTCCTCCACTGCACATTTGTATATATGTATAATTGGGATCTTGAACTGCCAAACGATAAAATGCATTGATGGTTGGTACGATTCCCTGTGTTAGGAAAAAAGACATCAAGTTGTAATACTGTAGGCAGCATAATATTGCTCCAGATTCTTCAGTTAATAACTTTTATAACAAAAAGATTGACTCATTGGTACATGTTTAATATTCTAACTTACCTTTGAAATATTGGAGAATCCCAGATTAACAAACGGTTCTCCACTCAAACGTTCATATACTAGACATTCAATGAAGTTTATTGTACCCATACGACAAAAGCTTAAACAAAATATAGAATTGGTGCCTTCAAAGATGGTCATTTGCTCAATAACTAATACGGAGATAAAGTAATGCATTATAACACAAGGTTTCAAGAAATATACTTCACCTTCATCTATGTAAACTCGAATCAAAACTGTCTAACGTATAAATGAGCTAAAATACAATAGATACTGCAATTGACCATGCCTAATATACACTGAGCTTACTTACTAACATTCGCATTGACGACTGTGATTTTGATGTTTGCTGACAGTTGTTTTGAGTTGCATATGTTCTTCAATTGTAGGAATGCTGTCCTCGCTTTAACAATCATAGCCTTTAAGTAGGTATAAGACCCTAATTGTTCATTGATGATGTTTCCAGGTACATGAGAGTTTCCACCTCTTCCACTGTGTCTTTTCGTCAAGTGTGATTGGATTGGTGTTCTCCATGTTGTCTTTGAAGACCTTGGTTTTTCCCTTGTGTATGTTGAGGCCTATTGATCCAGAATCTGCTGCTACACTGTTGTATTCATCTGCATTCGTTCGCGTGTATGGGAGTGAAGAGTCAGGTGATGTGAGAAGCACAAATCGTCTAGTTGCATGCAAGTTGTCCATTGTATCCCGTGCTTCCTCTCAGATGTCATGGTCTTCATAATCCAGTCAAGCAACATTAGAAATAGAAAGGGAGAGAGCAATCAGCCTTGTCTGACACCAGTTTTCACTTCTGATGCATATGTCAGCTGTCATACGTGATAACTCTATAGTTTTCACATTTACTTAATTTCTTCGTCGTGTCATATCGTTGTTTGATATTTCCTGCACTTACAGCTTTTTCCACTGTCGTTGCTATGTATTTCTCATATTTCTGTTTGTCAGCTCTATTACTCATCTTCACTTGCCTGTTTGCTTCAGAGTATTCGGCTTGTGCCTTGATACCCTATACTCTTGTGCGATAGTTTTTGTTAATTGCTATCTTCCTGTCCTTCCTTTCTTGAATCTTGTACAGGGTTTCCACACAGACCCATTCCTTATGATGATGCTTGTTGTGGCCCATGACCTCCTGATATGTTGAAGTCAGTGTTTCTTTGATCCCTTTCCAGTTATCCTCCATCGTAGTTTCTTCTTCTTCTTCTTCTTGCAGTAGATCTTGTAAGGCTTGTAGCGCGTTGGTGAGAGTTATCTTGAGGTGGTTGAGTTTGCTAGTATCTGGAATGAGGGCTGTATGGAATCGTTGTAATGCTGTTTACCCCGTTGTCCAGTGTTTCTTTAGCTTCTGTTTGATCATGGCAACCATCAGGTAGATGGTGATCTGAAGCTACGTCAGCTACTCTCTTGATTCTCACTTCTTCGATTGACTTTCTGAATTTTTACTGATGCAAATATGATCGATCTGGTTCTGTGTAGTGTGATCCGGTGAGAGCGGTGTAGCTTTGTGTATGCGTTTGTGTGGGAGTATTGTGCCACTTATAACCATTTAGTGGAATGTACATGAATGTGCAAATATTTCTAGTCTGCCCTTGTTCTTCTGATGTGCCACAGGGGGAGTTATTATATTGAAAAGAATAAATATGTTTTTGCAATTTTTATTACATGTAGATTCATCTGTTGGTATTTCAATGTTATTTCGACAGAAATGTAATCAGAAATATGATTTATGCATTTTTATCATGTAATGTACCAGCTAGCTGTTCATAAAACCCATCAATATTTCATTAAATTTTCGATTTTACTCCGTAGTGTTGACTTTATTCATATTGAACTTTGTCTATTTTAACCTTGAACAACTATATCGATTGCTTTTTTAGAAAAAGCTAACTGACTATCAGTAAATTCATAATCACTTCATTATTCTAATTTCTGAAAGAATACTAAGCATAAGTTAAAAGTAAATCCTTTACTGTTTTCTTACTGGATTCTGAAGAATGCCTTTACAACTATTATCAGTATCATGATTATTTCTAATATAATCAACAATAAATTAATCAATCTAATCTATCAACCTTAAATTTCAAATTGCACTTGGTGAGTGTATATTTTCACTCAGCCCTACACATTTTCAATCCAATCTATTATTTATTCATTTGTATAAAATATAAATGAGCTGGACAATTTTAAAACTTCAGTTGGTATATATCCTTGATCTAAATGTATTACAAAACATACTTTATAATCCATAACACTTTTTACATGGAAAATAATATCAATGTAGGATTTTCTACTACACCTGATTAACATCACTTTATGACACTGAGTTGGACAGATTATTCCATATTTTAGCCGTAGCCGTAAAAATAACTGATCATCTCAATGATTCATGTGACACCAAATCATGATACGAATCGTAAATGCTCCATATTATTGGATTATATCAAGCCCATCTGACCTATTATGCATAGAAATCTATCTATAATCAGACAAAAGAAGTCTCAACAAGTGTCGTTGTAATTCAGTCGGTTGCCATACCTATCAGCTCAGACATGATAGTCATATTCTTTTCTACGTTTGCATGCTTTCTGTATGTCGTTTTTCTATTCTGCCTATAACTATATCGATTACTTATGTTTTGTGCTTTATTTGTCGTACACATAATCGGAATTAATTAAATGGGAATGTCCCTGGCCTATTTTCATTTACACTTTCTATTACGGTCTGTCTAATCGTATATGAACTCTTGAAATATTATATTCTCACAGAGACATTTTGTATTTGGCTTTTCTGAATGACATTTAACCTAAGTATCATATACTAAGTTAAATATGTTAATTATATTTCAATAAGGTCAGTTTTGTACTTGCTAAAGATAATACCGTAATGAACGTCATCCATGTGTGAGAGAACCTACAACATTTATTCAATGGAAGCACGTAGTAAATGAAATTGATCTGTCACAGGATCAACAAAGAATCTGTGACGGTGGGGTAAACTGAATTCTCAGATGGAAATTTTAACTATTACTATTTATTTATATTAAATTCAAGCTTTTGATAGCAAGTTAAGCTGATTTTCTTTTTAATTTGGGTGGATACGTACACCACTGAGCACTTCATAGTGAGGTTCCGTTGATCGAAGGGAACTTGATTAGCATCATTCACAGATCCTAATGGTTATGTGAGTTGTCCCTGACAATGACTACAGTGCTAGCGGAAATTTACTTTAAGACATGTACTATTTTGGCTTAATCTATAAATAAGGAGTTTGATAAAACACTATTTCACTAGCGTCATTATTATTAGTAGTAATTACATTTTATCAAGGTGGCACTGGAACCAAGCATTGGCATCAATCGGTGAAGCTATCAAATGTTGGTTTGATTGTAGTAATGGGGTCACGTGGTTACTCAATTTGGTGGACCTCGATATCTCAACCAGTTTAACCAATCAAAAGATAAAAAGGATTGGTGAATTACTTAATACTCTAAGAGTGCCTAGGATATGCAGTTTCGGGTACTTGTATTGACGCTAGTTCGTGATGAAAACTGTAAACTTCATTCCTGATTCTAAATATGGACATTAATTCCTAACACCTTTGATAAATGATACGTGAGCTAGAAATGGCTTGGACGTTCGCTGTTAGCTTGATGATATAGCTGCACTTCACCCTTCGATTTTTTCACTACCTTTTCCCTTTTCCCATTGCTTTCCGCTAATGTGATAATTTTCTGTAGGCTTGGAGATCATGCTTTCGTCAATATGTATGATGAACAGCCAAACTCTAAGCTGTCATTCATGAATATCAATTTTTCCTACACTTCATCTTCTAATATTAAGAGCTAATTGTTGAAGTGTGTGGCAAACGACTCTATAGAATTCGTAATAGAATAGTTTGTATTAAAATATTATTTCTTAATTCACAAGTATAGTGGGCCAACCCCAAAACCCCAATGGACACAGTCATTATTTTCAAAGGTTAAGATCATGAGTTAGTTGAAGCCAGACCACCATGGAAAACTTGGAGTCACTGGACGGCCGTTAGTGTCCATGTGATAGACATTGGTTAGAATATCTCTTATAACTTTTAAGTTACATTAGGTTTCTTCAGGGTAAATTAATTCTAATGTTCCCTCATCTGATTCTGCTAGAACGTACACAAGAGGAAAAATATGGGTACAGTAAGTGATTTGTATTTGATGTAATAAGACTTGTTAGATGTTCAAATGTCGAATGTTCATTTACAACCGTATTCATTGTTTTTCCTGGTCTTAGCCACTAAATTATAATACTGTTTAAAAAGGACTATCGTTCAATGTGCACTAAGATCCCTTTTATTTTAGATCAAATATAAGAATTTAGTATAGAAAAGTGTGTCGAACATAAATGAAACCCTTATCTAGAATAAGAATTATATTATGATACACAACAACTGCAACACTTAAACTACTTCTATCGCATTTGTAAACAAGCTGATATTTAACAGTGCGCTCAATTAACGCTAGCCACAGTGTAAGTAGTGTTAGCTTCTACATAATATCGAGAAAAGAAGATAATAATTTGGTTCGAAACTTGATAAACTTATCACTACGAATTCTTTCGTGTTGTAATCACCCTATTTTTTAACATAATAACATTATCATCAGGCTCTACAGTTATAAGTCCATAACTATAATATTTTACAAAGGCCAAAAATAAGGCATGTATTAATGAATTTGATAATGTTATGTGTTAAAAATGGTGCACGTTTGCATCTGTTACGATATATATATGTATATATATACTTCAAAATTATATGATTTGCAAGTTAGAAAGGTCATTCAACAAGGGTCAGGATGGTTTGGAGTAAAGTGTCCAGTCACAATAAGTAGAATAGTATTAGAATTATAACAAAAATGAAAATGCCAAAAATTGTGTGAATAAAATACATAGTAGGAGAATTTAATCTTGTCGATTGAGGTAATAATAATAAGATTGTTGTGTGAATATGATATGTAATAAGGGGGGTGTTATCAAGGTAATTACGATGAACGAATTGAGAATGATGGATGTGAAGATTAAGATAGAGGTAATAAAAAATAATGATAATAAGGAAAATAAATAAATAAAGGAAGAGAGTAAGAGGTTTGTAATATTCAGTCTAGGTATTCGGTGATCCAGTCGTGGGCCAAGGTGATGAAGTTATTGAAAACAAATGTTCACTCAAATATTCTTCATTTTTGAATATTTTATAGGGATTTTTAAAGTAATCATAACATTAAACATGATTTAACGAAAGGTTTAAAACATTAGTTCTACATTAGTACTTCTCAGTTGGCAGCGGTGGCAAAACAAATATTAGTGAAAATATTATATCCTTTGCTTTACGATTATCGCGAAATACGATTGCCAATTTAGATACTCTGACTCATACAACCAAGCTAATGACGCGTACACCAGTACGAGCAATCTAGAATTCCGACTGGTTCTTTTTCCGCCAGCCCTGCCTGTTAAATCCAGAACGCCAACCTAAGCGTCCGCATTACGAATATTGTACTGCAAATACCCTGGTTTTTACACGTATAACCAGTCTCCAGTCCAAGTCGTCCCATGTTATCTACATAACAGCTGTTGTCCTTCCCAACTTTGGCATTTAAATCTCGCATTCCGATTGTCAGGTCCTTTCCTGTGCACTTCTCTATGATCGATTTCATCTTCTCTTAAAATTGATCTTCGTCCCTTTCGTTGCTATCGTTGGTGGGTGCATAACACTGGACAACATTCATTATGATTTCGTACTTCTTTGTTTTGAAGGATGTCTTAATGATTCGGGATTCATTAGTTTACCATCCTATAAGTTCATTACATGCTTCGTTGGACAGCATCAGTGCAGCTGTCTGAGTGCAAGGAGCATTTTATTCTTCGCGACCAGAGTACATCATCGTCTCTACTGAAGCTAATCATGTCTGTCCAGGTTGAGCCCAGTAGTTTTCACTGATTCCGAGTAATTTCGAATTGTATCTCCTCATTTTTATTGCTAATTGATTAGTCCTTCCGTTCTGCCACATTGATTGGACATTCTATGTCCCTGTATTAATGGTTGCAATGTTTGTAAGCAGTTGCATCAGCCAAATGACTTCCGAAGAATCTCGGCTTTTATCATGAGGCATAATAATTCTTCTCTTAACTCGGAGAGCAGAGTTTAAATGGTTTAAATTGTCTAATATTCTTTTATTGGGTCTTGTCACTTGTACTAACTCTAGTTGTGCTACGAGTGGAGTTGTGTAATTAGCTACACTTGATTAAAAAGTTTTTATTGTGAAAACTAAATAGTCCAGATGAAGAATTTTAACTGTTTTAAATCCAACAACATTGTGGTGTTATAACAAAACACAATTTGTGAAATACTTGTTTCGTCAAAAGACTATCAGTAATAAAATATCGAAAATATGCTGTCAAACTAGGTTTAGATAATATCTAAAAGTGAGGTATCCACTTTTTAATTTGAAAAGCAATTTCACAACTAAACTTAGATTACAAATTTATTGGTAAATTTTAAAAACCAGTGGATCAATCTCGTCCAATAAAATGTATAAGTATAAAATATGTTGTTGGTAGTGGTTCTATTACTTACTTACGCCTGTTACTCCCCGTGAAGGAGTATAGGCCGCTCACCAGCATTCTCCATCCAACCCTGTCCCAAGCAATCCTTTCAAGCTCTTTCCAGTTGTTATTCATCCCTTTCATATCGGCTTCTATTTCCCGACGTAATTTGTTCTTTGGCTTTCCTCTTTTCCTCTTCCCTTCAGGATTCCAAGTTAGCGCTTGTCTCGTAATGCAGTTTGATGATTTGCGTAATGTATGTACTATCCATTTCCATCGTCTTTTCCTAATTTCCTCTTCAGCTGGAAGCTGGTTGGTTCTCTCCCACAAAAGGCTGTTGCTGATGGTATCCGGCCAATCAATGTTGAGTATCTTGCGTAGACAGCTATTGATAAATACTTGTACCTTCTTGATGATGGTTGTTGTAGTTCTCCAAGTTTCAGCTCCGTGCAGTAGAACTGCCTTGACGTTCGTATTGAAGATTCTGAATTTGATATTGGTTGAAAGTTGTTTTGAGTTCCGTACGTTCTTCAATTGAAGGAATGCTGTCCTTGCTTTGCCGATCCTAGCCTTTACGTCTGCATCTGAACCTCCTTGTTTATTGACGATGCTTCCCAGGTATGTGAAGGATTCCACATCTTCCAGAGTTTTGCCATCAAGAGTGATTGGACTGCTGTTCTCCGTGTTGTGTTTGAGGACCTTGGTTTTCCCTTTGTGTATGTTGAGGCCTACTGATGCAGAGACTGCTGCTACTCTGGCTGTCTTTATCTGCATTTGTTCGTGTGTATGTGATAGGAGGGCTAGTTCATCTGCGAAGTCCAAATCGTCTAACTGGTTCTGAGCTGTCCATTGTGTGCCGTGGTTTCCCTCAGATGTCGAGGTCTTCATAATCCAGTGGACCACCAGGAGAAAAAGGAAGGGAGAGATTAGACACCCTCGTCTTACTCCGGTCCTCACTTGGAATGCATCTGTCAGCTGTCCTCCATGCACTACTTTGCACTGTAGTCCATCGTATGAGTTCCGGATAATGTTGACAATCTTCTCAGGAACTCCATAGTGTCGAAGAAGTTTCCATAACGTCCTCCTATCTACACTGTCAAATGCCTTCTCATAATCAATGAAGTTGATGTACAGTGACGCGTTCCATTCGATCGATTGTTCGACGATGATCTGTAGTGTCGCGATTTGGTCTGTGCACGACCAATCCTTACGGAATCCAGCTTTGAGTTTGTTAGAATCTCGAAGGAAGGCTGTATTGAACCTTGGCAGCGCTGTTTGTCCAGTTGTCCAGTTCTTCTTTACCTTCAGTTTTAAATTGGCCAGAACCACGTGGTGATCTGAAGCTATGTCAGCTCCTCTCCTGCTTCTCACATCTTCCATTGTCCTTCGGAACTTTTTATTGATGCAAATATGATCTATCTGGTTCTCTGTGGTGTGGTCCGGTGAGATTCAAGTAGCTTTGTGTATACGTTTGTGTGGAAATATTGTGCCGCCTATGAACAATTTGTTGAATGCACACAAATTTACAAATCTTTCCCTGTTTTCGTTTCTCTCTCCCAGTCCATGCAGTCCCATGATATCTTAATATCCGGTGTTGTCTATTCCGACTTTGGCGTTTAGATCTCCCATCAGAATGGTGAGGTCCTTTCTTGGGCACTTCTCTATGATTGATTGCAGCCTCTCATAGAATTGATCTTTAACGTCGTCGTTGCTATCATTGGTGGGTGCATAACATTGGATAATGTTCATTGTGATCCCCTCCTTCTTTGTTTTGAATGATGCTTTGATGATTCTGGATCCGTGAGATTCCCATCCTACAAATGCATTTTGTGCTACTTTGGACAGCATTAAAGCAACTCCCTGAGTGTGTGGGGCATTTTCCTCTTCGTGATCGGAGTATAGCAGCATCTCTACCGTATTTAGCCTTTGTTGTCCAGCTTGGGTCCAATGGGTTTCGCTGATTCCCAGTACTGCCAAGTTGTATCTCCTCATTTCTGTTGCTGTTTGACTGATCTTCCTGGTGTCCCACACTGTCCGAACGTTCCATGTACCTATAAAAATTGTTACTCTGGTTGTTAGAAGGGACATCGGCTTTGTGGCTTCCGAAGGAACTCGGCTTTCACCATGAGGCGTCATATTTCTTCTAACTGAAGACCTTCTAACTTCCGGGACAGAGTTTAAATAGTTTGAATAATTTTTTCTGGTTAGCGTTTTTCAGCGAGTTAGTTTTCTACGGGATGGGGTCGCTAACCCCATACCCAACCGTCCTCCTCTACCCGGGCTTGGGACGAGCAGTAACTCTGGAAGAGCTACAGGCGGAGTTAGTGGTTCTATAATAAATGCAAATATATCATCTCACACTTGTGATGTCATTCCATTGCCAAGAATTATTGACCGCATCTCTAAGTAGATAAATGGTCACTACAATCGTTTTAAATATCAACCATTCACAACTGATCATGAGAGATTTGATGCTTACTCAAATATATGCTTTTCCTAAACTCAATCACTAAGTGTTTACCATTATATTCACCTCCGTAATATCTGCTTACATCTATTAGATTGGTAGATTGATAACTTACTCTACTTCAAACAGAATTCAATTGTGTTAAATTGATGTTCCATATTTGTTTTCTTTTTTCTGGACTAATAGTTATACTTCAGACAAATAGGGATCAACAAAAGTCTTTTCAAAATTATGTCGGTTGTACACATCGGAAATCTTGTAGAGTAAACAGAACAAATGGATTGTACGTTAATACGTTTTACTATTATAATATTTTCACTAAAACGGTTTTTAACATAACAGTTTTTGGTACTAGCAATTCGGGACGAATATATATTTCTCCAAATGGAAAGGTAAGGACAATTATTTCATCACAGCTCATGTGAAAAGTGGATAGATATTTCATAACATAATTGTTTCGTTTATTTAGCAGTCAGAGTTCATTCCCGACATAGATTCAACGGTCAATGTCGAATGTCTTTTCCGTTTAGTTTAAATAAAGCAAAGTGAATTAATTAAGTAAAAAAATGCATCATTAGTAAGATAAAAGTAACAGTTTATAAATGGATGCTGTACACTGATTCCACCAAACAATTTTTCAGAATTCAACACATTACATAATGATTATGCAGATTAAAACGAATAATATGAAATAATTTAACTTACTGCTGGAGTAGTAGTAATAAACATAAAGCTACCAGAAGTAGAATAGGAACCAATTGTCATATTGTAAGTGAAATTTACCGGTACACTGTTATAATTAGCAGTAAACACTGGAATGTGATAACTTATCTCATTTGTTAATGATGATGTTGAATCATTCACAGTTCCTATACAAAATCAAAACACAAACTAGCAATTAAAGGTTAATTTTTCAGTTATTTATTACTATCTCCAACACGTTATAACTTAAGCTGTAAGAGAAGGAAATGTCAAACAACGATATGACACGACGAAAAAACTAACAGGGAAATATAGTAAACCAGAAAGACCAGTCAAGGACAAAGAAGTAAAGACAATCACCGAAACTCAAGAACAGAGAAGCAGGTGTGTAGAATAATAATTTGAATAGGCCAGCTCCACTGAATCCACTGGATATTGAAGCAGCACACACAAACCTTCCTATAGATGTCACTCCATCAACAATGGAAGAAATTTGGACGACCATCAGTCAAATCAACAGTGGGAAAGCAGAAGCACCTGAACATATTCAGTCTGAAGCACTAAGGTCAGACCTACAAGTAACTGCCTACATGCTTCACACTCTATACAAGAAGATTTTGGAGGAGGAAAAAGTACCACTAACATACTGGAAAGAAGGACACACCTCATTAAGATACCAAAGAACGAAGATCTGAGCAAATGCGGGAACGATAGAGGCATCACACTACAATCGGTACCAGGAAACGTTTTCAACATAGTTGCTGAACCAGGTTGATAGATTCAGTAGACGTTCAACTTCTAGATTAACAGACTGAATTTCGTAAGGATCGGTCTTGCACAGACCGAATCCCAACACTACGGATCCTCGATGAGCAATCAACTGAATGGAACTAGACACTACTCATCAACGTGCTTGACTACGAGAAGTTGTATGACAGTGTGGATAGGAGAACATTGTGGGAACTTATTCAACACTATGGTGTACCTGAGACGATCATCAATATCAAACGGGCTTTATTCGATGGAATTCAGTACAAAGTGGTGCACGTATGACAGCTGACATATGCATCAGAAGTGAAAACTGGTGTCAGACAAGGCTGATTGCTCTCTCCCTTTCTATTTCTAATGTTGCTTGACTGGATTATGAAGACCATGACATCTGAGAGGAAGCACGGGAGACAATGGACAACTTGCATGCAACTAGACGATTTGTGCTTCTCACATCACCTGACTCTTCACTCCCATACACGCGAACGAATGCAGATGAATACAACAGTGTAGCAGCAGATTCTGGATCAATAGGCCTCAACATACACAAGGGAAAAACCAAGGTCTTCAAAGACAACATGGAGAACACCAATCCAATCACACTTGACGAAAAGACACAGTGGAAGAGGTGGAAACTCTCATGTACCTGGAAACATCATCAATGAACAATTAGGGTCTTATACCTACTTAAAGGCTATGATTGTTAAAGCGAGGACAGCATTCCTACAATTGAAGAACATATGCAACTCAAAACAACTGTCAGCAAACATCAAAATCACAATGTTCAATACGAAAGTCAATACAGTTAGTTCTATTGTACTGAGCTGAAACGTGGAGTACTACTACAAGCATCATCAAACAGGTACAAGTATTTTTAAATAATTATCTACGTAATTTACTGAATATCCCATAGCCTGGTACCATCGGCATCAGTCTATTTTGGGACAGAAGAAACTAGCTTCCCGTTGAAGAGGAAAGTATGGAATGACGGTATAAGTGGATCAAACACATATTGAAGAATCCGTTAAACTGCATCACGAAGCAATCACTGACTTTGAATACTGAAGTGGTATGGAAAAGTGAAAGGCGGACGAACGATAAAAGAAAACTCAATAATAGAAAATATCTATCAGATTTACGTCAGGAACACCTCGATTCCTCTTTGTTCATAAGTTTGTTTCTATACTCTGTGCAGTGCTTCATATGTCGTCATAGTTTGTCCTTTTCAATAGGTTACTTCATATTAACATTAATGATGGTTGTTTGTGGATATTTCCTTTGACTTAATACATATTACCAATAAGTCACATTATATTCTGGACCGAATCCAAGTGTTTTCTTTGAATAATTGTTATATACTATCACGCACTTCGAGAAACCACTATGCTTTCGGACCAATCCTGTCATACAATATTCGAAAGAAAAACTGATTGACAGTTTTCTAAGAGCGAGCATTTCACGTAAAATTACAATTGCTTTTACTACAACAGTATTTGTAGAAACAAAATCATAAAAATCAATTGATAAAGAATTAATTTGATGGGTGCCATGATTTACAAATTAATTAATCAAAAAGTTACTTTTTATTAATAAAAGGAAATCTAGCGATAACAACCTCGGTCAATAAAATGGTTAAATAAATACAAACAAACCTTCATAATAAGTTCTCTCCACGTTAATATAAACCATATTATCTATAGCAGTTGCTGATAAGCTGATAAACGGTAATGATGAGCATTGAGTTTTGAGTCGTGGATTCAAAAATATGTATTCTTTGAAGGAACCCGGTGCATAAAGTTGAAAATCTATTGTCCCCCATACATTGGGTTTCGGAATTATGGATAACTTTAGCCACGTATAGGCGTTCGGTACAAGTTGATTTCTAGGAGTCATCGACTCAAGGGAAACTAATTGCACTTGCGGCTCCCGGTTTCTTGGCTTTAAAATGATCGGCAAACGTGAGTTAGTGTTGAACATTTTCAAAGGAAAATAAAGTAAATTTTCATTATAAGTAAAACATGAAAGTGAAAACACTACCATAAAATATAGAAGAGTGGTTTCAATGCTTTACAAAATCCTAATTATAACGTGTAGTCAGTACATGTGATCATAAATTCAAACTTAATCTGAAAAAACTGGGAGTCAATTAACTCTTACTTCTCTTTACTTATGTATGTTGGACTTCATGAGGCCATCTTCCTGAAATCAATATTTACATCGGAAAATTCGATCACTAACAAGCGTCTCTGCCTAATTCTGATATCCAGTCATTTCGGACTAAAACCTGTAACACCAAACCAGTCTTTATTACATACAACTGTGAAATGGGATTCACTAGAAATACTAGTGTTAATTAATTGAACATGGTTCAGACACACAGGTATAACAATATTTTCATAACCATGAAACCCTTTTATCCATTGGGCATAAATTCCGTGACAATAAAAGTCAATGTGAGATGGTTGCTCACTATCATGGATTCATTGAAGTTAGACTTGTACACTATTGGATTCCAACTCAAGGGTCTAAAGGTCAGGCGTTTGCAATCGAGACCGAACATCGTGGGCGCAATTCCGAAATTCAGGCTAGTGGATGTTGATTCCTGAGAGATCCCAAACTATGATGAAACGACTGTCCAGTGTTACCAGTTTTTCAGTGGTTGTCTAACTTGGATCGGTTAGTGACTTCAATAAAATCCAACGATCTGTAGAACCCCAAACTGACAATATGGTGATACGTTAAAAATAAATGTTGCCATTAGCATGTGACAACAAATATGATTCTATGACTCTTACATGTTGGTGTTAAAGTGATCTGCTTTTCATGAAACCAGTACGGCATGAATTGTAACATGTCTTAATTCGTATTGTTTACATCGGAAAGTATTATCAGAGGAATCACCTTCAAAAACTAAGTAGTTCTGATACTTTTGTCAAAATTCCCAACACCTAGTCGAACTAAAGTATCAAAGTTCCCTTCTGACTCTGTAAGCTGTACATGTCTGTTACTCACTCGTAATAATGAACAATGACATATAATTCTCAGACAAAATGTTGAATAAAAATGAGATAGAAATTCGTCTCATACCATCTGAATAGAATAGTTAGTTTGAGCGGTGATTGTTAATGTCTTCGTCAACGCAGATCCAAGGGTGGAAAATGTGAAGGTGATAACGAATGGCACGGTGGTGATTGGCATTACTGAATAACGAAATGCTATATCACACTGAGAGTCATTACATGTTTCATTAAAGTATACCGTGTTAATTTGTGCTCTAATTGAATCACTGCAACAATCAAGAAAATAGTATTAACAATAGTAAGAATAATAAGAATATTCATTATTAGCTTTCAGACTAATAAGAATATATTAACATATCCATTAGTGTTCAATAAAACCACTTGTGAACTTTGATTTCAGATGAATGACGGGAAGTATGTTATTGTGTCTAATTTAAACACGATTATTATAAGAAATATTATTCCCAATTTAAATATCAATATTTATGGTCATTGAATGATTCAACTCTACGAGGTACTCCAAAACAGAGATTTAAACTTCTTTTCTTTCGTTATTAAGAGACCACACTGAAGAGCATATATTCACCAATCACTGAATGAATTAATTTCACTCTTGATTGTGTAGCCTCACTAATATACTACTGGAGATTCAACAGATTCAAGGATACATTTAGTAAATTGAAATAATTTTTACGACCAATTATTGTCATGTACTGATGACTATGTTAGCGATGAATAAAAGTTATAATTATCACCAAAATATTTTCGAATCCTGTTAATGTTTATAAGTGAAGAAATAGATCAATTAAATTATGGTTGACTTGTTAAAATATGATGAAGGTATATGTTTTTTTTTTTATTTTATCAAGAAAAGTGAAGTAGAGTATTCCAGTAAAACTCGTGTGATACACAGATAGTTCGCTTCACTATTCATCATGATAAGGTTTGATATGGAGATAATATAACATCAGTTATAGATATTTTTTTAAGATTAGCCGTTAAAACCAAGTATCATAAATTTTCCTACTTTCCTTACTTCATATCACTTATGCGTAACAAAATGTCATTGAAACTATTAATTTGATTGATTTAAATAGTCACAAAAATTAATCCCCAAAAAATACCTAAAGAGATGGAAAAACAACTGACAATTTCACCTGGATCAGTTACAGAACTTCCTAGAACTACTGACCCCAGCAAGTTGTTGGACTAATTAAAATTTGTCGAAGTGACGAACAAAGGAAAACTTCAAAAAGATGTTACATACCAAAGTGAGCAGAAATTAACAAAAATTCTTAAGAAAAGGAAAGAGAAGTCAATTATCAGTGAAGACCTCTATGAAAAGCGTAGACCAGTTGGACGAATTATTCCATTGTATGACCATATAAATAAGAAAGATACCCCAGCTTGTCCTATATTAGATATGAATAACTCGCCATATCATACCATCGCCAAATGGCTAGCTGAAATCCTATGACAAATGTACCTGTGGCGGAAACAATTTGCCTGCTACATGATTATATTGAAAAAAACTTGTTGGTGTTCCAGTACAATACTTAAAAGGAACACTTATTCAATGCGCTCTCGACGTCTGATTTCAATTTAACAATGGGTTCTACAGACAAACTGATGGCGTAGCTACGGGGTCACTACTCGGCTCACTTATAGATGACCTCCTAATTGCTAATCTGGAAAACACTAATTGGACAGCTTCTATCTATACAAGAGTTACTTAGACTACACTTTCAATATTTGTGATAAAAATATCACTATCACAGATATCCTGTATGCGTTTAATATCTGTCATCAATCAATTAAGTTCACAATGGAATCAGGATCGGATTCAGAATTCTACTTCTTGGAAGTTCTGGTAAAAAGATGAACTGACGATTCTTTACGAAGATCGATATATAGAAATTCAACATGGAATGGTTACTAAATGAATTTTCAAAGTTTCTTCCCACTGAAACAAAGTGGAACCTGATCTATTCTGTTTGTGGGCTTTCAAGATCTCTGAGATAAACTTTCTATTCGGCTGAACTTCGCATTATCTTTTCTAGTCGGCTTATGATTCGAAGTTGTGTGAAGGATAAGCTCTCACTTTGGGCGAAAGAGATATGCATCTGTCAGATTACTTGCTCATTTGGAGCTGCTTATATTGGTTGCACAAAGTTAGATCTTTCGAAACACATCTCTGAACACTACCCTGTCTGACTGCACAAATAATTACATGGATAGGTCAATTCCGAACACTCTGGCTCACCAGAAGCCTGCTTCAGTATCATACATACAGTCAGAAGAGTCAGCTCAATAGGAATGCAAATGAAAATCCCATGTACAGCAGAGACTATTGTTGTCCACCAGTTGAAGCATAACCATTGCGTGCACAAACAGTATGTTCAGTCCCTCATTCTTCCATGATCTTAACCACCCTTCTTATCTTCCATAATCTATTTTATTTTTAATATATTATTCATACTTTCCAATTGTCTTCACAACTATTAAGTAGCAATTATTACACATTTTAAATGTTCTCTTCTTAATCGCAATCAAGTGGACAATTATCTTCACCTTACCACTATTTTACCAGACGATTATTACATAAATTCCTTTCAATATCTGATATTCAACTCTTGACAACATACCACTTCAAGTTTATAAATCAGTTAAAAATAGATTCGGATTTGAAGCTGAATATGTGTAGCTGGAGTTGTGTATATTTTCGTACGGGCATTCTCCACCGATCATTCGGATTTCTCTATACGATGAATCTACAAAGTTTCGTTACTTATTTAGGAGCGTTTCTTTTTAAATCTGCAAGCACGTTTAAGTTTCCGCAAATATTTTAGTTTAAAAATATAATGAAAATGCCTTTGTCAGTTTTTAAATATTACTGCTCTATTGATTTCTGATCAAAGCCTATTCACAAAAGAAATCACTATACCCTTCAAGATGTATGAAGGAAAATTTGAAGTATTTTATTTCGTTGGGTTTGTGCAGATGAACGACGTAGTTGAGTGCCAGCTAAATGTTTCTTGATGACCATTTGACACATCATTATTCTACTTCGTCTTAGCTTCACCGTTTTTAATCTTCACTGCTTAATAATCTTGATTATGATAGGTCCCATTTTATGAGAACTGCTTTGTGTTTTGTTGAAATTTGAATCAGTAAGGGATAATTATACATATAATTATCATAGAGAAAATAAAATGGGCACACTTAACTGTTATTACTTACGTTTTTATAATGTAAGAAGGCGATACAGGTGCCATCGTTTTCAATAAATATCCAACTGTCTGGATATTTTGTCTAGTTATGATACCATAAGCTGGATTTGCTTGTATCACGAGAATGACTGGTGTGTAAACTAAATCCTCAAAAAATTTCACACGACATTCAACAATGGCGGGAAAGTTGACCAGTGGTTGTGAATTTCGTGGTTCTATTTTTTCGATAGTAAGTGTTGGAACTTTGGAGGGCTGTATTCAGGAGGAGTTTACAAACGGCAACAATGAGACAGATTATAGTTTATAAAGTTTGAAAATCAGTTTACATTCATGTTATAATTTCTCTTATTACGACTCAGCTATTTCTATTGCTTAGTATTTTTGGACACCAATTCAATACATAGTCCCCAAATCAGAACAAGAACGAAATTGAATTCCAAATAACAAGGATAGATGAAAGTAAGAAGCACAACAAGAGAAACCTTAATATATTTATAGTTTTGCATGAGAAGATTCTAGAGTGTTCTCCAAGTATCGACTAGCGCTGATTGAATAAGAAATAGGCAATCAGCGTGCACCAACACAATTATGCATGGAACACTTTAATGCAATCTATGTCCCGCTAACACTTACCCATTGAGCAGATTCATAGGATCTGGTGTTACGGTTCAACTAAAACCAAATGACTGGCCTGTGGTTTCCATCTATCCATCGTCTAGGCAATAAACGAGTTGTATCACTCTTTGCTTGCACAGAAACTGACCTGTCTGTTCCAGACGTTCTTATTTCAAAGGTGTCTAGCAGAACGTCAAGAGGTTTTCTATATCGAGTCTCGTTGCTGGTTATCGAAGTTGATTTCATTTGCTTGGCACGACGTACTCAAACTTCTTAGCCAACTGACACCTCATAAACCACATTCCTTCGCTTTTGCACGATCCGACCAGCTATCTATGTTAGATGTTTTCCAAGATAATCCATAGAAAGTACCTTTACACCCACCTTGAACAATTGTCTTTGTGCCCCGTGATGTCGATCGAACTATTTCTCCATCGATACGTTTCGTTGAGGCTCAAGGGCTGGCGTCGGATGGATGACATAGAAATGCGTTCGTATTTTTCTGCCAAGTAGATCTTCCTCTGGAGAGATCGTGTTAATCGTCTGAGGGTCCAGTGGAGAGCGATAAATAAGTAGGAACCTCTCTAACATCTCTTCGGTGGTCCCCCTTTTCATTTTTCAGAGCATTTCTAAATGTACCAAATAAGCGTTTCACTTAGCCATTGGATTTGCGATGGAGTTGAGGTGTTGGGACATGACTGATTGGGTACTGCCGAAAAAATCTTGAGAAGATAGCGGATGTAAACTGGGTTCCGTTGTCGCTAACCATCAATTCTGGGACCCCGGAACGATTAAGTAGTTGAGCTAGTTTTCTGACTGTGAAGCTTGCAGTTGGATGTTCCATGAGAAAAACCTCTGGTCACTTACTGTACGCATCAGCTTCCAAACTGTAAGTTTGCCCACGAAGTGGACCAGCGAAGTCCAAATGTATACACTGCCACGGAAACCTTGGACCTGTCATTTTTGCAAGTCTCCGGGTGTCCACTGATGAACACGACATGTTGTTAATGGGTATATCCATTATTCCAAGTTTTTCTAGAATATCTAGACCAAGGAGATCAAGGTTTGGTCGTTCAGTCGGATAGCATATTCCTTTACAGTTAATTTCATTGTAGGAAAATTCACAATGTAATTAACCAACTAGTTTCAACACACCTCCTGGTGCGTTTTTAGCACTGTTTTTAGATGACTTCATTGGTGCTTTCCCAAGCAGATTATACGTTTCTCTAGACACTAGAGTGATATCGGATGTCGTGTCAAGTTGAAAACAAGCTGATATGTCGTTAATCTATATAATAGCATACATTCTCCGAATGCTATGGTCTGTTTGGAATGCCGCTACCAGAGAAAGAGATTTAGATTTGGCTGATTTCACCACATGTCGATGATGTTTATGTTTGTTCTTTAGCTGGAATGTACGATTTGGTGGAAATTTTCCTTCTTTATGTCCACGACTGTTGCACGCCTGGTATTTGTGCTTCTTAAATGGGCAGAATCGTACGTAATGCCAATCACCGCATAACCAACAGGCAGTAGTTGGTTCGTTACAAGTTGTTCTCGGATTCTGAGCTTTTAACCTAGTAATAGTATTGACACTACTTCAGGTTAAATTAGAATTTATCTGTTCAATCAACTCATTATCGTGTCTGATGTTTTGTAGCCGTTTACACTCATCCGTCAATTTCCTGATTGTAACGTTTGGATCTTAATCCAGCCAAGTTAAAAGTCCAGTTCTGATCTCAGCATCTTGTGGTGACTGAAGAGGTTTGATCAATATTAGGCATTTAAATTGGTCTTCTCTCAATGAGCGCAACTTGAACCGTTCACATACTCTGTTGATGATGTCTTTCAGAGCACCATGTTCATCGGCTTCGCGTTTCACCAAATTTAGTGGCTGATATGGAATATTAAACTATGAGGAGGATTCACCGAATATCTCTGACAATTGAGTTACTGTCTCCTCGAAACTGAACACTTGAGGTAACTTTGGCAATATATAGCCAGCATAATGTGCATGTTCATTGCTTTCAACTTACTCATCAACCATCAAGTCATTCAGGCGTCATCTTGTTTAAAAATTTTTATTTTAAATGCATCTTCCCAACGCCCGAACCACGTGAGAAAGGTGTTTCCACTTTCGGGGTGGTAGATGAATTCTAGGATGCTGCTAGCAACTGCATCACAAGACGTGCTTGAGATAGCGTGTGAACTCGAGCAGTGGGTATTAAGTTGTTGCGTCAGAGTCTCCAACAACCGCATTTGCGCATCGAGTTGTGCTTTCTGGTGTTGTAGTATTCGGTTGAGCTGGTCATCTGATATCGGCATCTTGAATGTATTCCTTTTTCCCCCGCGGCTACTGGGATTCAAGCCGAGTGACGAAAGCTTCCGTAAGCCAAATTTATCTCCACTTAACACTGATAAGCTTATAATTAAATCGAGCAAATGATCACAGAAGCGTAAACTTCCATTACAAATGCCAGTATCTTTTTCTATTCGATTAGTGACTTTCTTATGAAATGTCCTTTTTCGAGCGGATAATAACGGTTGTTTCGATGATTTACTTTTCGTAATTATAACGACAAAATATTTACAAATAAGCGATTTTACAATAATTGACATATTAACAGATATGAGGAATAGGATAAGCGAATACTTAATACTAAAGTCGAAATAATTTCCGAAAGAAAAGATATTTAGATCGTTTTCCTTTACAAAAAAATCTATAATTAAAATATGTACAGTGAACGATTATCTTACAGTTGTTTCCAACGACCACTTCATTCTCACTACGGGAGAACTCAGAATAACTCCACGATTGATTTATAATGAGTGAATCGATGTTGCTTTATAGTATACCTCATGCATATGGCCCAGTGAAAACACAGTTAAGAATCTGAAAGCAGTGGGCAGATTCCCCTTTCAAGTATAGGATTCTTCACCAATGTGTATTCACAACTGCATCAGTGATTGAATCCACAATCTTGAATTCAACCATTGGGGTTTTAACCTTTAAATCACTAAGTCGTAATCGAATAGTTTACACTTACGACTTTAATGGATGTGTGAATCGTTTAGGATAACTCAAGACAGTAATGCAAGTATTTGGTGCAAACAATTGATTTCATTAAACCTATTAATTTAAAACTATAAGTATCGATAAGATTAGCTCCACTCTCACACAGTGCACAAATCACATTTTCACACCCACTCAGATACAGACGACTACACACAAATATTCCTAAATTGGATCCAATTTGACTCGACTGGCATGACAATAGCATGATCGAACGTGTTTTCTTTGTACTAAATACGTGATTTGCTCCTCTGTAGTATTTAAACTTGCATTAATATGATTCATTGGTCTATTCTATGAAGAAGTAATTCATGCTGATTCGTGAAACATCAGAAATACAGTTTTCTACTCATTAGGCTACTACAAATATACCACGGCAAAAGGATCCCATATTATTTCGTGAGGTATGTGATATTGCAAGCAATGACTAAATCACAATTGAAGTACGACTGACATGTGAAATTGGTCGTCTGTGATATTGAAACACATTTTGAGGAGTAATTCTATAACTCAGTTAATTAGTTACATATATTGGTTATAGATTCTTAATTGTATGATATGGTAAATCTGTATTCGCACAGTTAATTCTTAATTACTTGATAATAAATACTCCTCAGTTCGAATTATGCAAATCTGTCAGTTAATCTGACTGTAAATAAATCATATATGAAGTAATGTATTCATATATTATTGTAATTTATATGAAGGGTCAAATAAATCCTTGCAACCAGTCTTTGTGTTCTCAGTGTGTATCGTCAAGTTCGGGGTTTCCATACAAAGCACATCTCAATAAAGTATTCCACAGACATATTACTTTACTATCATAAACAATCTACACAACGCTCATTTCAGTTGAAATCATTAAATGGAATGCTGGTGATGATACTTCAAACTAGACAAATTCAATTTAACATTCTATTTTATTGATTTGCACTCTATTAATATTTATTTTTTCAGTTTCTCAGTCACCATTGAATATTTAGAGCTAACAATTTAACATTTCATTTGTTCTAAAAGTTAGCAAAATTTCTAAATTGTCAAGTTGTTTTAAGGTCTCTGATATAATCTGTTTGAAAAGGTAGTAAATCAGGAAAAACCCTTTCAGGATTAATTCAGAAATAAGATCGTCAATTAGATTGTCATTACATTGATAACTTGGTCAGTTATTTCTTATTCCATTTCGATCAAGTAGTCAGTTACAAAAATACATAGATACACTATATTTCAGTAACAACTCGATCATTAACTCGAAATATGCATGTAATCTATATAGGATAACAGATGAAGTTAGAGGTTTAAACGAAATGTATTATCGAAGTATGTGCTTTAGATTAGATTAGACTAACAAATAAAAAATGGGGTAAACATACAGGAATAATGGATGGTGGCTGGACCATAGAATTTATTGAAAATACAACATTCTGTGTATTCACAGCCAGTGTATCTGTACTTAAAGTAAATTGTATTTGGATCACATCACCTGTTACATAACTGGTGTCATAGCATAACTTTATTCCAAACACAAAATTATAAGTGATATTCCAGGCATTTTTATTTTCGAATATACCAAGTGGTGTACTACTACCACTTCTTCGTGAGTTCAATATAGTGTATTCTGATATTAATCTGACCTGTAGTGTTTGAGAGTGATTTGAAAGGAAAAGAAAGTAATCAAAATGTTGTACAATGAAATTACTTAGTGGAAAATATTCATTACAGGCAAAGAGGAACAAATAAAAGTGTTGAATTACAAACCTAATGAAAGTGTTAACCTCTTTCTGAGTATCAGATATTATCGTTCAAAAATAGTTACTTTTCATTAACAGTTCCCGAATGTTTGAAGTATGTCTTGAATATTTTTGAGAATAAATGTTGAAATGAAATCACCAATGAATTCATGGTATAATGAAAAACATATTGATAATTCAATGTAATCAGTTTTGTTATATTTCGCATTTACTAGATGTGAAGTAGGGAAAACGAGTTTTCTTCGATTATATAATTGATTGTAATTTCCATAATAAGTGGTTTCATGCAAGATGTAAACCAGTAACACGTCCTGTGACTTCATTTCCACTCCATAAAGCTAACCTTTGAAAATCACTCTGAACATGTATTTTAATCGCTTTCATCAGTAGGGGTTGTTTCATATAACACGTGATAAGCAATAGAATAACTAAATTTCTCCAGTCTTGATTAAGACGCCTGTCATATGCGTTTAGTCGATAGTCTTCTATTACCTTCGACTAATGACTATACACATGCTGAATTCCAGTCATAGTGATTTTGTATTATATTATAACATGAAAATAATAATCATAATAATATTCAAGAATATAAACGGTAAGCAGTTAACTTATTTTCGCTTTTAATGTTCACTTAACGAGATTTTACGACAATTTATCTTACAGTCATATCCTGTTAATATATTCGATGGAATACCTTCACAATAAAAAATTCCGAATTACTACATATTTGAGATTAGTGGTACTATCTCCATTTACCATACATTTACATAACTGATCTCACTCAGTTATGGTAAACTGAATGATTTGTTTTATGTCTTAATTACAATCATAATGTAGTCATTTGAGTACAATATCAAAATGTTTGACATTTCAATTTTAATTTATTGTATCCAGGAAATAAGGTAAGTTTGTTAATGTACATCAGTAGCGTAATATCTGTCTTACTTGAGTCATTTAGAAATCTCCGGATCGAAAAAAAATTTCTTGGAATTTCTCGTAAATTTTGCCAAAAGTTCTTTAGAAACCAAGAAAAATGTTGGAATCTCTCTGACCAGTCAGCACATATTAGAACTCCCGAAAAATTCCGAGAAAGGACTGATCATGCTTTCTTAGTTCAAATTCGACAAGCACATTTTTCGTATAATTATATTTCATTCTATTTAAATTGAGATTAGCAGTGAAATCCAGGGAACACATTTGGGCTTCGTCAGATGGTTATGTCTGTATACCAGTGTTGACGTTCACATCAAGATAGGGGCCTAGTAACCTTCATTTTAAACGCAAACGCGTTCTGCTCTCAACTGTTAAGTCTAGATAACCATTAGCTTATTCATTGAGTACAAATTCATCAGTAAGGATTTACTTTATTCCGCTGTTGATATTAAATGCTGTGTTCGATCAGTCTTCATGTTAGTTGTGCATATTGAGTAGTAAATAGATAGAAAGTCGGTGGTTCATCGATCGAGTGTATGTACTACTGAGATGCAACACATTAAACTTACTTTTCTTGTTTGATTGGTTTCTTCTAGCAAGTACTCAATGTAACACATTTCTCCAAGTATTTTATTTTGGATGGTTGCCCCAAGAGTATAATAAGAATATGTATTTGGTGTAACAGTTAGTTGAACTGTGAAGAATTGAGTCTTTTCAACCTGATTCAAGATTGGAATATCCTTTATTGAAATAAAGTTTTTTCCAGGCTATATATTTGAAGAAAAGAGGATAGTTAGTTTTTACAGATTACTTAAAATTAATCTTACCGCACTGTAATTTGTAAATGAGGAGACTTGACTCTCACAAACGTTCACTGTAGAATTTTCTCCTGTTGGTGAGACTTTTGCTTCAAACTTAATTGGTGTTATGCCATTTTTAGAGACATGAACAAAAACTGTTAGACGAACTGAGCGGTTGGCCACTGGTAGAGAAGTATCATAAGCTCCTACACGATATTCGAAAAATAATTTTAAAAAGCAAAAGATATATGAACATATAGTTTTCCAGATATGAGCAACCAGTCTGAACAGAAATACATGAAACTTATTGGAAATAATTACAAAATGAAACCAGCTGAAAAACAACGATCATCTCCGGGTACCACTGAAGGATGTTCCAGGAAAACAGAAACATGATTGTATTGGAAATGATCAAGTGATTTCATCAATATTTCATTGATACTCAGTTTAGCACTAATCAACTTTTAACAGTTGAATTCACGAGTCAATCTAAACCAAACCACCATTAAAAACGTTGAAGCACTGGATGACCGATTCGTCCTAGTGTGGGGTTCCTCAGAAGTGTGTATCCCCATAATGATACTAATCGACTTATTAGTGTGATCGATTATCAGCTAATATGTTCACTTGATGGAATATTCCAAATAATCATTTCAGCTTAAATGGTTAAATGATAAATTAAATTCGACTTAGCTTTCATTAACTGTAAAATGATAGTTGATAAAATGTAATATCTTGTTAACTGGAAGTTCATAATAAGCTTCGAAATATTTGAATTTTCATCATCGTATTTGTATTGCCACACGAAACTAATCATCTTATATTGTTATTGGAATAATCTTTATTTAGTTCACAATATATCAATTTAGAGATATTCTGCTCCTTAACTGAGTAAACTATGGTGTTTTCAATATGTATATCTTGTATAAGCGGACAATAATGTTACTATTAAGATACTCATCAGACATTAATCTAATAAAATATAAGATTTGTATGCATATATGGAAATATTAAACTAATCAAGGGAGTTTGTGAGTTAGTGATATCAGTGGAATATATCCCATAAATAACCATAAGTAAAAAGTACAAAAACAAAGAATATCTGTTGGAACAATCATTTTCAGTAACTTCGTCATCAGGTTCTATAGTTATAAATCCATGATAACTGTTATTTTACAAAGGCCAATATAACGCGCGCTAGTGAATTAAACAATCTTGATCAATTTCGCATCTCTTACAGCATAACTACTTCAAAATGGCCACGAGCAAATTAGAGAGATCACTTACTAAGGGTCAGAATGATTTGTTATAAAGTGTCAAGTTACAATCAATATGATAGTGATACGATAAATAGTGTGGAGTAAGTTCATAGTAGGATAACTTCGTCTCGCTGATGACCAACTTGGAAAAACAGAATCGCATTAAATCAATTGTGGTTAAAATTTGTATTCTCACCCACTCATGCTCTAGTCCCTTGTTTTTAGTGTCGTTTGAGAACATCTTCCTAGCTTTATGTGCAACGTATCTAACTGGGTTTCTCTTATAATGAATGGGCACAAAGCTTAAAAATTGTGCGTAGTGGCTTGCTTAAGAAATTCCTCCATACATACTTCTAGTGATAGAACCGTTTTGCTTTTTGGTTAATAAGACGTTGAAGAAATGTAGTTTGTTATCAAGTTTCTCTTCACATGTGAATCTGATTACTGAGTAGATATTTGTTGGGGTGATCCAGAAAATTTCTCGCAAAAGACAAGCAACGAACAGGAAACACTAAGAAGTATTTCATCCAATCAGCGTTCACTTGAAGTTTTAGCCAGAAACATCGAGGAAGTGAAACGTCAGATGTAGAGGTTCTGATTGGCTGATTACTATACTGATACGATGTTTAGTAGCATTCCAGAATCTTCAAGCAACACAAGGACATTTAAAATATTATAAAAACCCTATATTTTTTGTGTTAAAATGCACCTTTGGAGTAAAGTACTTCTCGCATACTTCGCACCTTCTCTCTCTTGTTCAGGTTGCTGTAGAGTTCTAGCTTGGGGGTTACAAGAATATCTGAGGAACTGAAAATAGCGTTCGATTTGCAAGACTTACACTCTAATAGTTCTTTTCCAACTATCTTTTTCTTAGAGGTATGTTTTCTAGTTTGACACGACCTAGAAGAGAACCCATTGCCATTTCACCGATGTGTCTTAAACGTGTACTACTGAAGACAAAACATTCCAAAAGTACATTCCAAAAGTACATTCCAAAAGTAATTCTTTGAGACTAACCTCGGAAATTTAAATATTGATTTATTACTTAAGTACCTGTTGACTCACTAATTCAATTGTTTTCTTTTCGGGTACAGTAGTAAGCTATGAAACATCATCTAGATATGTCATCCATTCCCCAATCAAGTCCTTATGTTCTACTTTAAAAATGAAATCAAAAATATCTCTAAAGCTTCTATTGACGACTAGTTAGCATAGGGGATCCAAGATTGAAACTAAGCACTTTGCAGTTTTATGGTATGGAGAATTATATATATATATATATATATATATATATATATATATATATATATATATATATATATATATATATATATATATATATATGTATTCCTGACGTTTGAACTTAGAGTAAACCGTAGATTCGTGGTGTGTACGATACCGTAGGTTTAAGTGAATCATGGATGGTTGGAGTAATTAACCAACTTATTTCAATACTTCAAACGAATTGATTAGTAGCTACCTAGCTGTTTTATTTAGTTACATCATTCAAAAGTGAGTTTCTTTTATTGATCCAATCTGTTTGGTTGATGAGAATTAGCCCACTGTTATGTATGACTTGCTTATGATCAAATTTTAATTTTTTCTGAGTTCATGTAAAGCATCACGATGTTGTTTGGTAAGTGTGGATTTCATGGTATATTTACTACTTTTCTATCGTTGGCAGATGTCAATTAATGTGGTTTCAAATCTAATAAGTTTCTCGAGTGAAGTGAGAACCAAATCTGTTCTTTGAGAAAATAAATTCTCAAACTGTACATGGGTATCTAGTTGACTGATTCTTTTACCATGGTCATAGCAAGTTGAGCCAATCGAAACATTGACTGAAGCTTCTGATACTTTTATCATAATTAGTACATCTGTCTTCACACTCTCAATTTGTACTTTTACTTATTATGTTTGTTTACCTAATCCATCCCACTGTTATCAAAGACTCTCAAACTGCCTTGATTAGTTTAATGTTTGTATACATGTATATAGATATTATTGTATATCAGGATAAAGCATGATGAGGATCTTATTGGAAACAGCATTGTTCGCCTGGATATGTTGTACTAATTTACAGTATGGGAATTTTTAGCATTCATACCTTGTTTATATTTATTTAATTACAAATCTAGTAAACAACCTTCTTTAGAATATTTCATACGTATTGGCTATTGCATTCAATGGAAGAGGTAATGGTAATAGATAGTCCTTAGTATATATAATAATTCGTTGTTCGAAATGAAAGTTGGAATGATATGTTGAAGTAATTAATAAGACTACTTGTCTAGAATAATTTTACTGGTTTCACCTATCTCTTTGACAACCATTTTAGTAGAACATTTACTAAGCACATAAGCCTAAAATATAGACATATTCAAATTGTTGTTGTTAATTTAACTGCACTTAATTTCTTGTTGGTAGTTTATATCAGTTAGTTTTATGATAACTAAATCCCACATTATTGATTGTCGTATGCCATTTCGTTTACAATCATTTCAAAGTGACAAACATCTAGAAGTAAATTGGAACTGCGTTGTCTTCAATCAGTGTTCAGTATTTACTTTTATTTTATAGGTTTCTGAATAACTTATGAGTTTATGATCATTCTGTAAAAATTTCAACCAACTGATGAACGATTTGGTTCATAAATGATAAATTTAAAGACCCTCATAGCAGATGAATTGACGGTGAATATAAATTTCGTCTCTCATGTTGTTATAGTAAGGCGGATAAAATAAAACGACTGAAAATTTGTAAATTCTTGGCTAAAAACGATTGTAGAATAAACACTGCGTTGAAATTTTTTTATCAGTAATGATCAAAACTGTTTTATTCACTATTCTGAAACGCTGAATTAATCTATCAACTGCATTCCTTGGTGATAGGATTTATGAGGATTGGATTTCGCATAAGTGCGTTTCAAATAGTTGATAAAATCGCCTAATAAGGTTTCAGTGACCATATACCTAATTTTATAACCAAGCATTGTGAACATTTTTAATAATACTGATAATTTTAAAATAAACTTACCTAAATTCATTAAATTTGTAATACTTACGTAGCCAAAAGTTGTCAATACGAAAGTCGGAGCAACGAATTCCTCCGTATTTATTTTGTAACCTTCTGGATAGGTGGCAAATGTTGGAGGTAGAGTTAGAGATATATGTCCAATCGAAGCACTGTATTGATCAGTACTGAATGTGAACTATCAAACAAATCAGTACATATAACTGGTAAGTTTGTCTGTATGCGGTATTCGATAATGAGAATATTCATAGTTTTTTGATGGTAGTATGAATGAAGGGATATATATATATATATATATATATATATATATAATTTTAATACCTGACACATTTATTCTCTATCCTACAATAAACTGGATAATTTTCAAGCTTAGAGAAACTACTTTTAGGCAATGAATTTATATTATTCATAATCGTGTAATGTAAATCAAAATGATTTATTAATATACCTAGTAATTGAACTTTAAAGTTTATTTGCGGTAAGCGAAATAATTTTGCATTGACTGTATCTGGCTTGTACTGATAATGGAAGGTAGGTAGAAAATCTTGGATACATTTCTATACTGCTTCTATTATAAGGTGATTCTATCTGCGAAGAAAATCTACTGTGGAAATGTGTTGTACATTCAGTTCACATGTGTTGTTGTATGTTTATACTGATTATCTGTAGATCGAAAACAACATGGAACATGATTTTTGTTTTTTTTTTACGGATAATTTTGTGCAAAATATGCACGATTTAAATGAAAAAACTTGCTATAAGAATGAATGAACATCTACTTATTGATTCTATGCATTACAAGTCTTCCGAGATTACTTTCCAAAACCGAGATAGTTCGACAATTTAGGTGTTTCGGTTAAGTTAATCAACATTGATGAACTCAGTCTTAAAAGAGAAAAAAGACTATAAGTAATTAAATCACTCTGGTTTAGCTAGGTAACAATACTGATTGATGTGACTAGTTTGAAACTAATCACCTCACTTAAGTGACTCCTGTACACTACGAAATATCCGTTAATGAATCAAGTATATACATGGGATTGAAAAATCATTAAGCAATATGAATACATTTTGATATTCATCTTTTTTGGTTCATTCAGTGAAATATGTTTGTTAACAAAATCAGAGTAGAATTAATTAGATTGCATACATTCATTATATGTTTTGCAATAATCTAACATAGTGTAACAGTGAGAAATATATATCATCTGTGACCATATGATCAAAAAGTACATCCATATATTACATAAATTTATAAATTGTTTGAATGATGCTATAAGTTGTCGATTGTCGATTTTTATCAAAATAACACTGTCATATAAACATGATAATATGGCAAACTGAATGCAAGTGTTTTGGAGGATTCAAGAAGAACTGATAATAATAATTATTTATTTTTATTAGTATAATTATTTTTTACCGAAATCAGAATACTAATAGGTTATGAGACTGAAATCTAGTTAGCAAGTCAGATATTTAGAATAACCATCATCGATTTCCTTTGATATCCAGAAACGATTTTAACAGGATTTATTCTGAAACATTACAAACTCTGATTCCCAGTAACTTTTTTCACAAAAATCCTGTTTTCTAAATTGATCCATTCCATGTTCCATTCATCAGAGAATCTCAAATTCGAAGATATGATCATATAGAGCATTAAATCAATATCATTCCATTTATTTATCAATATGACTTTGATTTATTCAAACTGTTTTCTGTCTGTTTTAATTTTAACATGACTGACCCATTTTTCAACCAATCAGCTCTAATAGATTAAATAAAGCTAGAGTATGCCTATTTTACGTTTACATATATATATACAACTGATATTGTGTTATTTTATTTCTTTGAAATTTATATACGATTTTGTGTCAGTGGTGTTTCGAATCAGGAACCAGTCAAGTAAATTGAAGTCTCCAAGAATATTAGACAGTAGAAGAATTCTAAGCATGATAGAAGACTTAATACTTCCCCACATCTATACCTCTGCTGAAATATTGTGGACTTTGATACGGCGATCGACTTAACGTTAATGTTAAAATAAATCCTGAAAAACACATGTAATTCGATAAAAGTATTACGCACAAACAAAACAAAGTTAGCAAACTCTTATGTAGATTTATCAATTCTAACTTACCGTATAATCTCGTATTGGTCTACTTATAAAGAAGTTCACAGAATAATCATAAACTCCACCATAATTAACCGACTGAGGACACTTTATGAAATTAACTGCATCATATTGAGTTGGACAGTTCGAAGAAACGACCATGGAAAAATCTACAGTAATTTTTGGAGTCAATAATGCTTCCGTTGTAACTACTAAACTGGTACCCATTGGAGGAGGTGTCTTTTCAGGAAAAAGACCAGTTCTGAATCTCATCCTAATACTGAAGTTCTTCTCATTATCCGCAAGAGCAGATGAAACGAGTATTTGACTTGTCATTAAGAAACTTGAAGGCTAGGAGAAAAAGATTAGACGATATATCAGCTTTGTGAGAAACTGTTAACTAAGGGTCATACATATACAGAAAGTGAATTCAGAAAACCTGATTGTGTTCGCCTAATGTAGTTTGAATTATCTAGCAATTTTTCATTTTTACACACATTTATTGTCTGTTAGATGAAGTGTATTTTACTATTCGTAAACATAAATCAAGCTGGTCTGTTTACTGTTTCCATGAGAAACGTTTCTGTACATAACCATGTGAATTAGAAACCTACTAGCTATGCTTCATTATTTTCTGAAGTACAGTATCAATGGATATCCACAACCTAGAAAATTACAGAAATTTTTAACACATCACAACGATCAACCTATAGTGGCAGGAATCAAGAGGTGTCATCTGTATATATACCTGTACATTTCTTGTTACCCAAACATTTGCACTCTCTAACAGAAAATGCTGTAAACAGTAAAATTCATCAAACTACATTCATATACTTACCGATGAATTATTGTTCAAGTATGTGAGATTACTAAACTTCACAGGATAATTATTTGCTATATTTGTACCGTTGTAGTAAGCAAACAAATATTGTATATATCCGTAATAGATATTATTTATAGACGGACCAGAAAAATTCATGATCAAACTATGATTTCCAGGTGGGAGGACAATTATGGAATCAATAAACCATGTATCGAACAGACAATAGTTTGGATTATCTTGGATGTATACTCTGGAAAATGTGACACGGATAATATCCGGTGGAACTATGACTCCCTGTAAAGAAGAAAAAATGACATTAATCATCTGAAAACCTGAAATCATAAATGATTTGGATAGTACACATCATGGTTCCATATCTTACTGTGCACATTTGCTGAATCAGATCACAACGTCCTGATGAAAACACTATCTTATTTCATTAACATCGGAATCATTAAATCGAAGTCATTAATGAATGAAGGTTGCTATCTTAAACACCACATTGTTTTGTAGGATAAGTGACTGTGAAATACATACGAATTCAAAGACAAATATGCCTACTTATAGTTTTTACCACTAACATTATTTTGAACAGTTTTCTTACTCAGAAGTTAACATTTTTGACAAATGATGACAAGACATTCATCTAATTTGGAGGTTGTCTTCAGTGGTAACATACCACTAATCGTGTTGATATTCTGTTGTTGTTGTTGCTTGAATATCATGGCTCAGAACTATGAGATAAGATTTGAAGAACCATTGCTCACATTGATGTAGTTGTTTGAAAGAAACAGGTTAGTACAGTGTCAATTGAAACATTCACGAATCTCTGTTAGTAATAGCTTACCAATTGTGAGATGAATAACAGAAATTGCAGTTTAACTTTAAAAAATACCACAATAAACAGATATCATACCCTCTTGTCTGCAGTCATCTCACTTTCTGTTTCTTCATCAGAATACTTTCCATCAATTAAAATGTTGACCGTTGCATCATCAGACATATCTAAGGAAGTATTTGCATTCTTAACTGTCACTTGAAAAGTGATGGTGTGATTATTCTTGATTGTTTCATAATCACTTGCAATTACTTTCAAAATACCAGTTGATCCATCGATAGCTACTGGTAAGTAGTTTGAACGAGGTACAATGTTAAATTGAACACTTCCACATGATGCTAAGGAGGAGTTTTCATCACTCAGAGAAAGACTACCAATCACACTTCCATTGATCCAGTTAGAAAACTTGGTTTCGAAGGTGAATACTGTCTGAGTGAATTTTGGAATTCTATATACTAAAATGGTAAGCATTTAATCTCTACAAAGTTAATATTTCACAATGCAAATCAGTAATGAATTATCAAGCGTGGAATGATTTATATTTCTTAAAGTTTGAAATTTCGCTTATGATTGAGGGGTTTTTCATTATTGGTGGGCATCATAGGTATTACATATCAATTAAACCTAAGAAGAACTGGATCATTAAAACACTTTGTAACTGTAACTGATCCTGATGACTCAGGGTGATAAACCTAACATTTGGTTACTACTTTCTATAATTATTTAATTTAGTTATTAATTTTTAAACTTACTATTATCCACCTGATGAATATTAACGTTGATACTTTAAAAGGAGTGATAGTTTAAGAATTCTGTGAAGAAATGGAATCATCTCAAATAAATGATTGCCATATTGAAGTGGCATATCGCTTAATGCTTTCTTAATCAATCAACCATCACCTGATTAGTGCATCAGTACTAAAACTGGTTATGTCTCTCGTATTAGAGTGTGTTTATTGTGAAGTATATTGAAAGTGTAACCCCTTATTGTCTGGAGGGCATGAACAAATCAAGGAACGCTTTTTGCAATGGTTTGATAACTTGACTAACCATGGTGAATTTTGGAGTTCTATGTACTAAAATGGTAAGCATTTAATCTCTACAAAGTTAATATTTCACAATATGTATATGTAAATGAGAAATAAATTATTGGGCATGGAGTGGACTATATTTCCTCAACTGTAACTAATTCACATTACAAGCGATTGAGCTATTTTACAAATTGATGATTCGATTCTTGAAGAAATTTTGCTTTTCTTTAACCAAATCAAAGCATTGATGATTTTCAAAGATTTCTTATAACATGATGCGAAGTAAATTTGACTACAAGCTTACCAAGAAATGTGAATTATTATCCATTCAGTGTAATGTTTATTTCCTGTACAGGTAATGTAGTGAATAAAGAACTCAGATGTGAAAGACCCATTTACAGAGATTTTCCATAAAATGTGAAAACCATATATTGAATACTTCATTTGCAAATCCTACATCACTTATCCTTTACATCATTCATGATTCTTCCATTTCTCAATCCCTTAATGCTTTCCTTTAAGCTTTCTTCAGTTCTATCTTCTCAAGCTTCTTTCGACAGACGTTCAACTTCTGATTGGTGTACATATTACTTACGTCGATAGATATAAGTAGAATAAACCAAAATACATTTTATGAGTTTGAGATAGGAGTCTTTAGCATCATCTTGATAAGGAAATGGTAGAATGTAACCAAATATTCATACAACCAAACAAAATTAGTCTTGTTATTAGTAATATTGACTAGTTAAACTATAAGTGACTGATTTACCTCGTTCTTCACAGGTCTTCCCGATCCAACATGTATTACATACACACGTTCCATTAATGCAGTGACCATTAACACAGCTCCTAGACAAAAAGATTGTGTATTGCGGTCTTATACACACAAATAGTTTATAATTTGTAGATAAGTGAAATTTGTTATGCATGTTTCAATAACTTTAGTTTTAGTGCGTGAAACTGACTTACGAAGAAAAACATTATTATGCTAATAAAAATCAGTTATTTTAGTATGAAGATGAGATAACAAGGTGTATATTTATATATATTGGGTACCTCGAACATGGTTGGCCTGCCCATATAGACAACAAAAATATTGAACAGTATTCTCACCGTCGAAATTCTCTATCACTTGTGGATGGGTGTTTGATGTTTGGAAATCGAGTAATTGTACCCACAAACTTACGCCGTAAGGTGATTTCAGAACTGCATGTTGCACACCCAGTGGTAGCACGGATGAAGGCACTTGCACGTGGGTATGTATATTAGCTGAATATTGACGCTCAGATGAAAGACTATGTTGTGAGATTTTCCACGTGTGCAAAAGCTATCAAAGCCCATCGCAAGACAGAAATGCAGAGCTGGGGGACACGGGAAAATCTGTGGTCAAGAGTACATGTGGATTTCGCAGGTCCCATAGACGGGAAACAGTACTTGGTGATTGTTGATGCCTTCTCAAAATGGCCAGGGATCCACTGCATGAAGTCTCTTTCGACAAAAGCTACTATCGAAAATTTGAGACAAGTATTAAGCTGCTTTATTTGTCCAGATGTACTGGTATCTGATAATGGACCACAGTTTACCTCCGCCGAATTCTCGAAGTTCTGCGTCGCCAACGCCGTTAGGCATATAAAGACACCCCCATACCATCCTCAGTCCAATGGTCTAGTCGAGAGGTTTGTGGATACGTTTAAAAGAGCACTGCTTAATGCCGAGGAAGAAGGGGAAATGGAAGAGATTATTCAAAGATTTCTACAAACCTACAGAGCAACACCTAACCCAACAACAAATAATCAAGAAAGTCCAGCAGAAGCAAGTTTTAGGACAAAGATTAGAATATCCATAGAGCAAATGAAACCAAAACGTACAGCCAACCTCCGCAAGAACAAACGAATGAAACGGCAATTCAACAAGCGGCATGGTGCATTGCCCAGAAGCTTTAAGTTGGGACAAGCTGTAATAACAAGAGATTTCACGGGAGTAAAGCCAAAATGGAAGTTTGGCATCATAATACGAAAAAAGGAAAGGTCATCTATGAAGCAAAAGTTGGACAAAAGGTATGGGTGCGACATGCAAACCAGATACAGCCGACCAGACAAGACCGGGAGATAGGAAATGCTGTAGAGTCGAATATACCAATAAATATATTAACTGAGTCGGATAATGAAATTAAAAATGACCCGAATAATAACAAGACGCATACAACACTCCCCAGGAGGTCGCAGCGCATCAGGCGGAAACCCAATCGAATAAAAATAAATCCTAAGGATCATTATTATCTCTAATGCTTCAATAAAAAAGAGGAGGTGTTATATCCAGTGAAGATTAAACTACAGGTAACTTACGAGGACTATTAATGGACTAATATTCTATAAGTATTCTTATTGTATAATTATTCAAGAATTACATTATGTGTATTTATATTCCACTTATTATAAGCTTTAAATTGACCCATAGATTATTACTATACGATTTATTATTCTTGAGTTATGGTCTGTTTATTAATTACTATCTCCCGCCCTGACCGTAGCTGCTACCTTGACGTGGTGGTCGGGCTTGCCTATCGTGATGACCCAACCGAGCCAAATTGGCTGGAACACATGTTCCTGCAGGTTCTACCATGCCAGGCAGGTCGATTGGAGAACGGTAAGACTAAAAGCAGCAACTCAAGGTCTGAGGGCGAAGCCGTACTGCTGACTGTATAGATGTGTGACAGCAGTAAAGTGTTTCCCTCGGACAACCAGCATTTGCAGCGATGCTGCCTTCTCACAAGGAAGGAAGGGGTTAGAAAAGGTTGACCCTAAAAATGTCACACCTCACCTTACCCCACGGATTTCCGTCTCCGACGGTAAGGCCCTTTGAAGAACGGAGCTAACACATTAAAAACCTCCCACAAAAAGGCTGTGCGCGACCGGCCTCAAGCAGTTGTCCCTTGGGCTCTACGGTCACGCACCCAGGTCGTTAAGACCGACGCTAATCCGATTTTCTTTTCAGGTCCCTCAAGAAATACCCTTCCACGGTGTGGGCAGCCGGGAAGTGATATCAGCCCTCATACCCGTTATAGCAACTCACATTCAATTGAGTTTGCTCTCACCTAATTCTGTTAAGCCCTTTTATTAACTTATTAAACGGACAAAGTCACCTGCACTATAATAACTTATTGTATCCTTATTACTGTTGCGAATGTATGTACCTTTATTATTGTTATCCTTGTATGAATATGTATGCTCGGCAAGCCTTACTGCCTACACATTTATTCACACTACTAGCTTTACTATTAACCGCTTAATTGACTCGATGATTCATTCATTTCACTATGTATATATATTTCCATGTTATTCATATTCACTACTCGCTCGCTCGTTCATTCACTCGCTCGATCGCTCGCTCTTGCCCTTGCTCTCTCTCGCTCGCTCGCTTGCCTTTCGGCACAACTATTTCATGCTTGCTTAACGCATCTGTAATTTTGGATATCTGTGTGTGGTCCCTTAATAAACGTAATTAACGCTTCGTATTTGCCTTCTGATTAATATACCGTTGGAGCATTATTTGGTGACGGTTACCGAGACGAACTGTATACGGAGTTTAAGGAATATATCGAACACCGACCACCACACCGTAACAGACCAAGTTGGTCACATTCAAATCCTTCCTACACCTCCTAATAACGCTCTTATCTCCACGAATAACCCTTCTTACGTCCCTTTATTACCTCGCCCCACTAGTGCAATCGATTCGAGTACGCGGAATGTTATTCCTGGTCTCCTGAAACCACGCTCCAAACTACACGTAGGAGCTTTCAACGTCCGGACACTGTGCCAAATAGGACAACAGGCTTCTTTAGCTAAGACTTTAGAATCTCGCTCCATCTATATGTGCTGCGTCTCCGAAACGCGCACACAGGATCCTAGTAGTGTCATTCATTTGACCGCACCGTGTCAAAGTAACGAACCAACTCGATTTACGCTTCGTGTATCTGGAAGCCCTGATGCTGCTTCCCGTGGCCTCGCTGGCGTAGGTATAGCATTGAGTCCTAGGGCAGAACTAGCTCTCTTAGACTGGATCCCAGTAGACAGTCGTTTGTGTGCTGTCCGACTAGACGGAACAGTAAGGACTCGAAAAGATAGGGACACTCGTCGTTGCCTCTTCGTCGTCTGCCTACTCTCCCACTGACTGCAGCTCAGATGATGTAAAAGATGAGTTTTACAGAAAGCTTTCCGACCTTCTCCGAAAAGCTAGGCGTTCAGATGTAGTAATAGTGGCTGGTGACTTTAATGCTTAAGTAAGTAAACTAAGCGAAAAGGAAAGGCACCTGGGTGGATCTTATGGTGTCGCGGCTCAAAGAACAGATAAAGGCGACCGTCTGTTGCAGCTATGCTCAGATAACCGCCTGTTTCTTGCAAACACTAACTTTAAGCATAAGGAAAAACATCTTTTGAC